CTTCTCTAGATTAAATATCTAACTCTTTCTGGAAATTTCCACAAGTTCCAAAACATAACATGACTCCAGTTAAATCCATTTTATTCCCTCCTCTGTATCCTTTTCAATGAGCGATACCAGTCACCATCAGTCATGTCAGAGTTTCAGGTGATTCCTTAGTTTCAGTCCCTACATTCAGTCAGACCTACAATCCTGCCGTCTCTCCTTTCTGAGCAGCTCCCTAATCCACCAATTATCTTTCTCCCTGGCCTTCTTGAAGGTCCCCATCACTGCCTTCTCCTGCGCTTTTAGGACCCCTCACCTCTGTGAGGGCAGAAACAATGCTTATTTACCCTCAGTTCCCCAGCACCCACCCTAGTGCCACATACTCTGCACACTGAAAATCCCCCTCCCACTCTCTTCTTCTCTGCCTGAGCTTACAGGAATCAGACAGGCTGAATTTCCACACCCCAGTTAGCATCTATAACTTTTAGACTCTCCCAGGACAAGTTTTCTTTATTATAGAAGCACTTATACATCCTGGGTCCTTTCAAAATGTACACTCTATGTCCAAATATACACACCTATATTTAACTGTATGTATATATCCAACATAATATACATATATACGTATATATATATATACTAATATTTTATTTTTTGCATATTAAAAACTACAGATGTAGTGTTGCAGTTTGGATATGAAATGTCTCATAGGTTCATGCATCAAAGGCTTGTTGCCCAGTGCAGAAACATTCAGAGGTGGGGCTTTTGGTCAAAGGATGAATCAGGGTTTGTAAAGTTAGAGACTTCATGATCCAATCACTTTTCAAAAGATATTCAATATATACAATTAGCCTTTTGTGGGGTACACTGGGTCCTAGTCATAACCTTGTAAGCGGTGGAAATGGAGGCTCAGCCTAGCTCTGTTTTATCCTTACAGATTCTAGGCTTTATAGCAGGAAATGCTCTGCTGTTTTTGTTTAGCACAGGCAGTTAGGACATCCAGGACTGACTGGCCCTGTGCTTTGCTCATCATTCCCCTCTTCTCCTGCTCCCTCATCCTTTCCCCGCCTCTCTTCCTCCTTTTCTCCCCCTCCCGCCTCTTTCTCCTGGTACTGGGGATGGAATCCAAGGTCTTCAAACTGATCTACATCCCCAGTCCTTGCCATGTTTTAACTATAGAGACAAGATCTTGTTAAATCACTAACTTACTCAGGCTGGGCTTCAACTGTTGATCTTCTTCCCAGGGAGCCAAGATTACAGGTATGTACCACCACATCTATCTAATCTTCTTCTTAAGCATATAAGGAATCTGGTAAGGAGATGGCCAGAGAAAACTGACTTTTAGAAGCACAATTTGTAATAACTAAATCTTGGAAGTGGCCTACAGATATATGCTCATCAACAATGAATGGATAAAGAAAACATCCTTATTTTTATACACAGGGAAGTACTACTCTGCCATACAGAAAGACAGACTTGAGGTATTCAATAGGAAAACTGATCCACCCTGAGATCATATATTGAGTAAAATAAATCAGACACACAAATTTATTTTTTATTTTTTCTTTATTTAAAAAAGGATAAAACTAAACATAACAAAACAGAACAAAGCAGATTAGAAGAAAACAATATAAGTGACACAGATTTCAAAGCAAGACAACAGGAGCTCTACAGTGGCTACCATTATGTCTCTTGTTTTTTTCTAAATGCTCATCTGTGTCTTCATATATAATGAATTCATATAAAACAAAGTAGTATAAAACTGATCAGAACAGAGTAATGAAGGCATTACAGGCCTTCAAAACCAGACAGTATGAATTTTTTTTTAATCGGTACCAGGGATGGAACTCAGGACCACAGGCTTGCAAGGCAGGCGCTTATGCCGCTGAGCTAAATCCCCAGCCCCGACAGTATGAAAATTAACAATGGCTGCCATAATGTCTCTTATAGCTGGACACGCAAATTTAAATATCACACAGTTTCGCTTATATGAGAGACCCAAAATAGAAAGTGCAAAATAAAACATAACAAGAAGAAAGGAAATCTTTTTCAATGGGAAGGAGTACAAGAGATGGAGGGAGGCAGGGGGGAGAAAAAGAAAGGGAAAAAATTGAAACATCTTTTGCAAACGGGAAGGAAACCAAGAGCTGGAAGGAGCTAGGAGGGATGGGAGGGTAGGGGACACGAGAATGAGGATGTAATTCGGACATGTACTAACCCCCTATGATAAATGTAATCTTTATGTACTGCAAACACATACTGATTTTAAAAAAAGAAAAGAAGAAGAAAACGTCACCTTGTTGAACACTCAAGGTGTCAGTTTCCAGGTGTCAGTTTCCAAGGTGGCTGGAATGTTATCTCTTTGTGGGTTATATTTTAACCCATGTGCTAACCGGGCAGCTTATGACCTCTTTTCCAGAGGTGAGGGCTGGTAAGCATCTCATTACATGGGCTCTGGGGTTGGTGAACCTCTGTTAGCAAACAAGAAAAAGGTCAAATGAAGAAGTGCAGCCCCAGTACTAGATCAATTAGAAAATGTTTCCTAGTGATCTGCCCTAGGAAGCCAACAGGTAGGAACAATCTAAATGGCATCAATGGGGCAAAGACAAGCTTCTTAAGAGCCCCAAACAGCAAAGGGATGCTTTGCATGAGTCCCAGGTTGATGAGCTTTCTGCTGTTTTCATTTGGAAATGAAATGTTTTATTTGGGCTCTTCAAAGAGGATCACGATGAGGAAAGGAACTGCCCTAGAATGTGATTTACAAAGAGCTGAGTCTGGGGCCAGAGGAAGGTAGCAGACAGGTGTATTTGTCTGTGTGGAAAGGAGCTGACAGGTGTATTTGTTGGGCCAGCAGTGAAGGTCCATGCTGGGGGATGGCATGTCACTGTCACCTGGCACATTACCCCTCAGATGAGACTGAACGCAGACTGCTCCCCTCTCCCAGTAACGATGGCCTGGGACTCTTTTTATAAGGAATTAGCCATTTTAACCCTGGGAGAAAGCAAGAGGAAAGCGCTCTTTCTCTTCTTAGCAAACTCGTGTGGGTGTCACAAGGAGGCCCAAAGCCGAGCTGAGCTGAAGATATTGGATCCATCACCCATTCTATGTGGATGTCCTTGTTTCTGGATCCCAGAGCAGCTGCAGGGTCTCTGTGTGGTCCTTCAGGGTGGAGAGCAGAGAAGGGAGAGACAGTGGTTTGTGTTTTCAGAACAATCCTGATGGAACTGAACACAGTCCAGTACACAGTAAGTGGTCCCTATTCACAAGGAAGTGGTAAAATAATATTTTAAATAGAAAGAGATGCATACTGAGAACATTGTATCTTTGTAGAATTGGATCTCCTCCGTATTCTCCTTCTCCTCCTCTTTTTCTTCCTCCTTCTCCTCCCCCTCTTCCTCCTCCTCTTTCTCCTTCTCCTTCTTCTTCTCCTTCCCCTTCTCCGTACTGGAGATTGAATTCATGACCTTGCACTTGTCAGGTAGGTGCTTACACCACTGAGCTGAATCCCTAGGCCCAATTTATATTTTTGTTTTCTAAAAGCATTTTCTCAACCACATCAACAGTTGTTACCTAAAAGACATTTTACAACATTTTAAGAAAAAGATTTGCTTAGTATTGATTTCTTATGTTAGTTCTACCTTGGTTCTACCCTCCAAAAAAACTGGGCAGGATTGAGTGTAGGATTGAGGATTGAGGAAAACCAGCAGGACTGAGGAAGCAGATACCAGGTGAGTGCGAGAGGAGGGAGGAGAAGCTGGGCAGAACTAGACAACCCACAAATGCAGCCAGGTGCCGCTGCCCCTGGCCAGGTGCCTTCCTCTGTGGGTCTTGGGTCACCCACAGTGCTTCAGTCCCAAGGGATGCTGCAGAGATGCCGCTGCCCAGTACAATCTGACACTGACCTCCATTTTTTACTGGGAAAGAGTAGTGCGCCTTTTGCTGTCCTTACGTAATGCTTTAAAATAGTAACGTCTGTTTATGTCGAAGTATATTTAGACATTAAAATGGGAGTTTTAAGGCAGGCATCACCTGGTCAGTGTAACCTTGAGCTGGGGAAAAATATAGATTCAACAATAAAGTTGAGACTGACCCTTTCATGTCAGTTTCACTACCCTTACTTCATTCCATAAGGATGACATATAAAGCACTGTGAATTCAAAAGGGAACATCAGTATTTTATGCCATATTTTATAATTATGAAATAAATGGTAAATATTTAAAGTGACAGCTGTTTTTAATATGATTTAAGCATCACAGTGGTAGAGCACTTATCTAGCATTGTACAAGGCCCTCTGTTTGATCCCTAGCACCAAAATCAACAACTTGTAAACATTACAAAATGTATACAGGCATTGAAACATCATGCTACCTCATTAATATGTACACCTTTTATGTTTTTATCTACCAAATTAAAAACACATTTAATTTAAATAAAAAACTTAAAATTTTATAATTATGAGAAATGTGAGTTTACTTAGAATAAAGCAATTTTGACGATAATAAACGATTTTTACTTATGCCATAATTTCAATGCCGTTTGGTAGGATGTGAGGATGTTAACAATGGCGCCCTAGCCTATTTGTTGTCTGAGACCTAAATGGTTTGAATCTACTAGCTTTCTCCCTCATTAGTTGTGCAGCTTTGGGAAAGCCTTGGTTTGCTCACCTTAAAATGGGGATGATGATAACATTGCTTGTTGAAAAGGTCAGATAAGACTGGATACGAACCACGTGGGAGACGATGGCCTTTGAAAGGTGCTCAGCAAATGGGAGCTATTTTTTATATTAAATCTAAAAGAAAGAAATGGAAGAAAATGAGAAGAAATGGGAAAGAAGGAAGCTGGGGATGAGAGGGGGATGAAAAGAAAGACAAGTTGCTTGCACCACTTCCCGGCATCTGTTGCTGATCCTGCCCTCAAACATGTTGCAAGATCATCTTTCTTGGTAATGTTTGCCCCTTTCTGTGTATGGTGACAGAGCCCTCTAAGAATAATTAACCTCATTTGACTATCTTGTTTGTGGATGAGTTTGATCTCTTGTAAGTCAATAATATCTCAGGATTGGAACATAGTTTTCCAGACACCACTAGCCAGTTCCACCATGGACCATAAGGTAGTAATCCTGCTCCTTTTATTTCTGAAATCAGGTAAGATCTGCAGATTTTTAAAAACTTTAATCATCATTTTTTCCTAGCAATGTACTACAATTAGACACCTATGACTTTATATGCATCTCATTTAACTGAGCTTTTGCTGCAGTTTTCAGTCCAAAATTTACTGTAAGATTGAGAAATTCTCCAAGCTATAAATTTCAGTTACTTATGAATATTGCCAAAGTGTTTGAGATAGATGGAGAAAGTCATGGGTGATTTTTCAAATCCAAACGACTAGCCCCAAATCCCAACCATTTTAATTGAAAAAACTGCCAATATAACTTAATCCCAAAATATGATTAATCTCTTTGGCTGGCTCTCAGTTTGATTAATTTATATCATTTTGTTAGGCTGTCATAGTCTTATCACTTCAAAATTTGAGCAATTAAATACCTCTTCAATTATATTTTACTCCTTGACCAGTCTATGGAGTTGGACTCAACTTTTCTTTGCCATGGTTTAAGGAAGTCTTTCCAGATCTCTATATTTACATCTTATGCTTAGATAAGTCATATGCATCTGTTTTGAAATGATACTGGATATAGTTCAATAAACATTTGTTTAGGATGTGAGATAGTTCAGGCATATTTTTATACATATGTACATTGTGTGGGTGTCTATGTGTCTCCATTTGTGAGTCCTTTTCTAATGCTAGTTTATTTAGTTAATCGTATATGAGGCAGGAAGTCTAGACTTAGGAAATTTATCTTATTTGCCTATTAACCAAGTTCCCAAATTAAGGAGATGAAAAAACCTATGTAAACTAAGGCTTTCTAAGAAAAAAAATTACTGTTCTTCCTTTTCCAACTTTCTTCAAAGTTGTTTGTTTGTTTTGGCTTTTCAAGAGAGGGTCTCACTGTGTAATCTAGGCTGGCCTGGAACTCTCAGTGATCCTCCTGTCTCAGCCTCTAAAGTGCTGGGATTACGGGCATGTACCACCACCCTTCAACTGTTTCAGTTTTGAAACAAAGTCTTGCCATGTAGCCCAGGCTGGCCTTGAACTCAACCCTGTTGCCTCAGCCCCTCCAGCAGCTAAGAGTATAGACGCATAGCATCACTTCCAGCTAAATTTTTAAAAATCACATATCTTAAATAAATGCAGCTATTTGGATTTTAAGGCAAATTTATTGAGATAAAATTCACACATTCCACAATTCACTCACCAGAAGCAGGTGACCTAGTGGCTTTTAGTACATTCAGTTTCTCAACCATCACTATAAATGACTGGGAAGGAAAAGAATTTGTTTTGTTGCTAATGTAAGAGATGGGTAAATGTAATTTCACAGTCTTGGATTTTTATTCATTTATTTTTTAGTGCACAAGTAAGTGTGGGTATATATATATACTTTTTTTTCCATAATAGCAGTGATGGAAAAAAATTCTCATATCATGTAAAATGTGTTGCTTTGATCGCACTATATATCTACATTTAGCTAATAATATAGAAGCAGCTTTCCCATGAAAAATTTTGTTTAATGTTTCTTTAGCAACAAATAGTACAAAATTCCCTAGCCATATGAGCCATACAAGTGAAAGAGGAAAAAAGACTTGGAAAAAGATATTCAAATATAAAAGAAAAAATGATCTTCTTTGGGGCTATTTCTTGAGGATATCAGCTCCTAAGGTGGCTTTCAGCAGCTATAATTTAATTTAAAGATCTCATAAACAGAAAATTTCTCTGTTTCAATATCCTTGGTATCCTTCACTGGTACATTTTCCAAGAACTCTTCACAAAAGCTACCTCTTTGTAGAACACACTTTATAGATCTAATTGTGTATTTTTCAAACCACTTCTTGATCTATAGAACTTACTAAACCATTACTCTTCTTTAAAATAAGAATTCAAATTGAAAGAAAAACAAGGGTAAGGACATGACTATGGGCCTAAGCTACCTTATTCTCTATAATCTTTTATATATTTATCAATGCTTTGAAACCTTAAAATGCATCAGCCAACTTTATGTTCAAAGATCCACTTTCCCAGTTTGCAGTATCTTTAAATTGAGGAAGGATAAGTATCAGAGACAGGGAAAGGGGGACTTTGAGGATGGTTTGGGTTCCTCTGTTCTCTTCTGCTATTCCCACTTCCTGCCCTGGTGACTCGTTAACATAACCTGGCTCTGGTCCCTGTCACTTCCCTTCAGTGGTCAAGGTTGCCGTATTACCTAATCGCATGGAAACTCTGCTATGTTCATTTCATTTAACATCTTTTTGCCTCCCACACCTGTGAAAATTACTAGCATTTACACGGGAAGCTGGCATCTCCAGGCCTGAAATGGAGCTTCTGGGCTGGGCCAGGTGCTAAATGTAGCCTAAGATCAGGAAATGCTTTGCAGCCTCTCAGTGGAACATGTCCGGGGCCTCTTGGCCACACTCTGCAGTGACAAGAAGGAGGAAACAAACTCTTTGCCCCAGATTTTATCTCACAAAAAAGATCAAAGTCAATATTTTTCCCAAATCCTGCTTTTTCAGTTTCCTTAGCAATGCCAAATACAGTACCTGTCATCATCATGAAAAAAAATCATTACTATTAGGAAGTATATATTGTTGGCCTCCAAGTTTCACTCCTACCTAGACACGGACATATAAACACCAATTTCAGAAACACGACTGCCCTCGATGGTACCTTACTAGCTTATCCTGATGTGGTAATCAATAGGACAGAGAAAACTTATTCAAAGTTTCATATCCATTGGTATAGTAAATTGTTGCATATTCTAAACTATTAATTTATTGATCTGGTTGTTTTTAACATATTATTATATGTTAATAGAACTGTTTTCCTGACTAATTTCTTTACTCATGACAACCTATTTTGCTTCCAGTAAAGCAGCATGCTTTATTTTGGTTGATACAGAAAAGATAAGTTAAAAAACTAGGATAGTTCAACCGTGGCATTGGCTGACTGATGAGACTTCCGCTTTTATCTTCCACTTTTAGGTCACGGGAATTCCCTGGATAACTACGAAAATACCCAGGGGGCCTCCCTGGTCAGCCTCAGGAATAAGCAGCTAGCAGCAACAAGCGTAGATGAATGTGCAGCAAACTGTGAGGCGGAAACAGAGTTCATTTGCAGGTATTTTCATTATAATTGCACCTATGCAGAAATCTTGCTGTTTAAGATGCTATTATTTTGCTGGCAAGAAATGTACTCATGGATTTAGTACAGAAAGAGGAATTTATAGGATCAGAGTTTGGAACCATATTTGCTCACAGTATCAGAAGTCTTAATAACTTTTTGTTGAGCTGTTAGTATCCCCATTAGAAAAATACCCTCAAAAGAAGTTATTCATTTAAATGAAATTAACAGTTACTGTTCTGAGCTCCAGTTTTTAGCATCTGCAGCAGTAAATATGTATTGAAGATCCTGTACTGAGGAATGAAAGTATCCTACATACAGCTGAAGGAGCAAAGAGCTATCGACACAGTCCAATGCCTGCCTTTTCTATTTATGGTCCTAAGAAGCCAAAAATGATGATTTAAAAAAAAAGATAGCCAACAGAAGGTATTGCTAAGGGCATAACTCATGCACTGTCTATTGAGATTGCAAGGAAAGACAATTCCTAAGGGTTGAGATAGGTAGGGTGCTAACATGCAGGAAAGGAGCTGCTCTGGACTTGGAGAGTGCATGAGACTTGACACCAAGGAGGCAGGCAGGTATCCAGGAAGGGAGAAGCACAGCCTGTGCCTGTGATAGGAAAGTTGATTAAAGCACAAGCTTCATGATCAGGCTGTGGATGGCCTTGAATGCCAAAGTGAGTATCCATGACAGGATCATGTGCATAAGGATGGGAGATGGAAAGTCTTCGTAGTCTGTTTTCTGTTGCTATAATAAAATACCTAGGACTGGGTATTTTTGTGAAAGAAAGAAGTACTTGGTTCTGGAAGCTGGAAGTCTGAGACTCAGTGGCTATATGGGGTAAGGGCCTCTTTCTGATCCTCTATATAGCAAAAATCAGAGAATCAAGCAGGAGCAAGAGAGGGAACAAGGTGGGCAGCCCCACTCTATGAGCACTCACATTGGTATAACTAATGCAGTTCCACAGGAGTGGAGAAGGAATTCACCTAGTATCAGAAAATTAATCCTGTCCTTTCCTAACCACCTCCTAAAGATCCCACCATGTCTCAGTACTGTTTCCCTGGAGTCCAAGCCTTAGTGTGAGTTTCAGTGGGGGCAAACAACATTTAAATCACAGCCAAGGTGACATGGAAAGATGGAATGTGGAGGCAAAACTTAAAGAGGAAACACCAGTAGTCTGGAATAACCAAGGCAGCCTATCTTGGGACTGGACTCAAGATAGAGTTGCTTCTCCCCAGCACAAAAACAAATTGCTGGCATTTAATTAAGAAACAAGCGAAGAAAGAGTAAAACAATCAAGAGAAATTCTGGTGAACCTCTGTAACCCCAGCATGTGGAGAGGCTGAGCAAAAGAATTAAAAATTCAAGTTCAGCCTGGGAAATTTATTGACTTAGAGAGATCATGTCTCAATCAGTCAATCAATCAATCAATCAATCAATCAATCAATGGAAAAGGAAAGGAAAGAAAAGAAAAGAACTGTTACGGTTTGCATCTAGATATCTCTTCAAAGCCTCTTGCAGTCATAGGTGGGGCCTTTGCAGAGGCGGCTAGATCTAAAATGTGTGATTCTGGTACTGATTCATGGTCAAGGCCACTAGGATTAAAGTGTGAGTGCTGCCCACCCTAAGCATCCTAGATAAAATAAAAGGGGTAGAAGGAGCTGTGGCTGTCCCTTGCTGGCTTTCACCTGCTTGGTTGTCATGGACTATTTCTCTTTTCTCCTCTTCGATGCCCCTCTGCCATGCCACCCTGCCTTGGAGCCAGCCAACTCTGAGTTGGAACCTTTACAAACTGTGAATGAAATAAACTTTTCCTTCTTTAACTTGGGTGTTGGGTATTTTGTCTCAGCAGTGAGAAAAGTAACTAAGGTAGTAATTGAAAGAGAAAGTTAAAATTTGGAGGAGAAAATAAAGGCAAAGATGTAAGAAAAAAAGAATAGTTACCATGCTGATAGACAGTATTCATTTTTAGTGTTCAGCTGGCTCAGTGTTGTCACATAATTAACTAACCAAAATGCAACAATTTAGGGTTCCTTGATCCTCCAAGAGACAGAATTTTTTTCAGTGTCTTATCTAAAAATGTTTGCTTCCCTTTAGTAAGGAAAATTCTTACTGTATTTCTCAATTTTCCTCTGCAGATCATTCCAATATCACAATAAGAAACAACAATGCGTGATCATGGCTGAAAACAGCAAGTCTTCCCCAATTGTGAGAATGAGAGATGTCATTTTATTTGAAAAGAAAGGTGTGTACATTCTTACTCTATTTTTTTAATTTATGAAATCACAGATTGAAGATACCATAGAGTATAACCTGAATTCTGAGTTAGTCTAGGATATGACCGCTAACCATCTATGGCAATATGATAATTCATCTCTTTGATTTCATTTTTCCTGTTTGAAAAATGAAGGAATTAGACTTACCGACTCACATCTGTCTTTGTGGCCATGACAATAAGATGTTTGCAACTTTATTTTTAAGGGACTCTAAGGGATCTAAGTGCTGTTTACGATCTTGGCTTCTTGTTCTACAGGGTGAGCATCAGCTTTGGGCTCTAACTTCTAGAATAAAACTTGGAGCGATAGAAATACTGAGTTTTTTTTTTTTTTTTTATCAGTACTGGGGATTGAACTTATGACTGCTTGCAAGGCGGGTGCTTATGCCACTGAGCTAAATCCCCAGCCCCTCTGAGTTGGTTTTAATACTCAGGGACATGTATTTAGGGACAAAAATCCTTTTTTTTTTTAATTAAATGTTCCTTTTTTTAAAAAAGCATGGTCTATATTTTCCTTAGTTTCCAAAATGCTGTCTTTTATGAATGTGCAAAAATTGCAATTGCTTTTCCACATTTTCCTTTAAATTCAGATCAAGTGTTCCTAATAAGAGAAATGGGCTGAATGTCAAAGGAAATCAGACGTCTTTTGGGGACTTCAGAGTGCCATTAAGTATGTAGGAAGATTTAAATCAATATATGACCATTTACAGCTCTCTGATTTTTACTGCTGGGTGGTACTGTATGAAGACGTCAATAATAAGAATTTAGCTTTTCAAATATTCTATATCACAGAAACTAAAGAGTTCAAGCAGCATCCAATTTGTTGTGTTCTTGACAATGACTTGCAACATTGTAGACTCATCGCAAAACTTTAAATATGACTTTTAAAAGTATTTTTAAAGTCAGCATTATTTTTATATATTGATTAATCTTGGGTCACACTGGCTATACCTCTGTTTTTTGTTTTGTTTTGTATTGAGATTGAACACAGGACTTTGCACTGCGCTACATTTCTACTCCTTCATTTTTTATTTTGAGACAGGGTCCCCCTAAGTCACTAAATTGCCCGGGCTGAGCTCAAACTTGGAATTCTCCTACCTCAGTCTCCCAGAGCCAGAGTCCCGGGATTGCAGGTGTGCACGACTGTGCTCGGCGGTTGTGCCCGTCTTGTGTTCCTTTCCTTACTTCTGTTTATATTTAACTTTTGAGATTAAATTTGAATCTTATCTTTTGAAGTTATTTGTTCCTATAAATAGTGAATAAAGGGTGTAATAAATAGGACTACCCGTCATCCATTATTTTGGGGTTTTTTTTTGTGTGTGTGTAACAGGAATCAAACTCAGGATCTTGCAAGGCAGGCACTTGTGCTGCTGAGCTATAGCCCCAGCCCCATCCACTGCATTTTGTTTTTAAAAAAAAGGTGTTCAGTGAGAGTCTAAAAATGCTAATGTTTAAATATGTTACGTGTAAATTGTTAACCAGAAGGAAAACTGGAATAAATGCTAGGCTTAGTTTTAAGCCTGAAATTTGGAGACTTGGTTTGCTTGTTTTAAAGAGAGCAAAAGGTTATATAAACTCTGGCAGGTACATATAAACAAGAGAGAGGGTGAAAAGAATCAAAGGTCAGTTCGTTTTTGATCCTTGCTTCTTTACTGTGGAATATGGACTCATTGGTAATTTACCAGCCAATGATCCGCTGGACTCAATCAGAATCAGATTACATTTACACCTGGCACTCATGCCATTCCCATTGCCCCCATCCCCAGAATCAAGCCACCATCATGAATGCAGAGGCCACTGGTCCCCACCTTGCAAACCCTATCTATGACCTCTTAGAAATATATCCCTCCAGATTAAAACTCCTCCTTATACACTTTCAATAAAATCAAGACCATTCCCCAAAGCCAACTGATCCTTGGTGTGGTGAGTCTACTGTATTACACAAGGGCCTTTTTATTTCTATTCTTGCAACACATCAAATGCTCTTCTGTCCAAGATCCTCTGGCCTACTAAGTCTCAGACTGACTAGTACCTTCTTTCAGGGGTCTTTACTTGGGCCTTCCTCTCTCAAAGTACTTAGAGTTGACACTTGGATGAGTATAACACATGTGCTATAATCATATATCCCAATGAAGATATAGTTACAATTATTACACACACATACAAGGTGTGATCACAAAATACAGTGAACAATTACATTTAAAAATAATTACAGTAAAATAAACATTTGCCATTAATCCCCTCCAAATATTCTCTCTTGCTTTGAAATACTTATCCATTTTATTGCCACTTTCTTAAGCAGGTCTGCAAATTCTCTCTCTCAAGTGTCTTTAATTGTGCTGTCGTGGCTACTTTAATGTCTTGATTCGAGCAATCAATTTTTCATGGTCATTTTGACTTAGGGAAGAGCTAGAAGTCACTCCATGCCCGTATGATTAAGGTGGAGGAAAAACTGTAATATTTTTCTTTGACAGAAATTGCCACCAAGGGTTGATCAATGACATATGAGAAACATACAGTGAATGTTTCAGTTAAAAAATGATTACATTGTAAGACACATTGCCATTATGCTTCCTAAAAATACTCAAAACTCTCCTTTACCTTGAACACACTTCTCTCATCATTCTTGGCAACTGTCCTTTACTCTAACAAGTTAATTTTTTTGTTGTTTGTATATTTTATTTGTACAGGGGACTGAACTCGTAATCTTGTGTTGGCCAAGCAGGCACTTGCGCTGCTGAGTAAACTCCCAGCCAAGTTAATTTTCTTTAAATCTTAAAAAATTTCAGCATACTTTTCAATCACTTCTTATAGTACTATTGACAAAACCTTTTGCTAGAGAAATGTTAGAAGTACTTCCTAGATTGACTGACCAATAAATTTTTAAAAAAATGGGAATCTTTAAATATGGTACAAGTTACCTTAAATATCTTAATATATATAATTTTTTCATTGAAAGCTCAAGCTTACATTGGCACCTTTTGACATATAGCAAAGACTTTTCTCTTTGAATATGGGGTCACCAGCAACAGCATTTCTTGTATGAACCAAACTCCCATGCAGTGCTTCCAATGATTACTTTCCTCATATTTGAGGTAGAGAAAAATCTACACATTTATAATCACTCTGACTGTAAAACCTTTAGATTTTATGATTTTCCCCCTCAAATTCCAAGAGTCAACTATTTGAGGGGGTTGCCCTCAGTGGATTAGACAGAAATTTTTAAAATGATTCCACTGTTTCAAGACACTAGAAGTATTCAACTTAATTAAAAACAAAAACATGGCAGTTATACCCTCTTTATGTCTTGATTTGGATTGTTCTTAGTTAAGTATAACTATAAAGTTGGATAGTACAGAAGAATGATGTCTGGGAAGTACATGACCCATCTGGTGGACATGCTACAAGGGGCCTGTAAGCTTAGGGCCAGCCCTGTCCCTTATAAATTGCAGGTGGATACCGTGTTTCTAAGACAAGATGGAGCCCTCTGAGTAATTGGTGAGCACGTTAAGTGGAGGTTGATGGAGAGGATTCACTGTACACATTAAAAGTGGACGTGTGTGTGTGTGTGTGTGTGTGTGTGTGTGTGTGTGTGTGTGAAAGAGGGGAGGCTTGGGATTGTACCCAGAGCCTTCAAATTGAGTTACCTCCCCAGCCCTTTTTGATTAAAAATTTTTAAAATACATCTTAGTTCTCTTTAATTTTCCTTCCCTTTGTCGCTCTCTTATTTCCTCTTCCTCTTCCTCCTTCTATCTGTTGGTCCCCTTCACATTTGCAAAAGATCTTTTTCTCTGTCTTTTATTTTGCTGTTTAAGTTATTTATACTTCGGGTTTCTCATAGAAATAAAACCATGTGATACTTAAGTTTGTGTGTCTGGTTTACTTCACTTAATATTACATTCTCAAGTTGTACATTTTTTTGAGAGAAGAGTCTCACTAAATTGGTAAATTGCCCAGGCAGGGCTTGAATTTACTTTCCTCCTGCATTAGTCGCTCACATTGCAAGCAGACACATTTTTTATAGCCCTGTTTGGCCTTACCAGGAGCCTGAAAAATTAGAAGTGGTTTGCATCTCTTTTAGCCTTGGAATGCCTGCTGCTCACTTGCCCAAAATGTCCTATGTTCATCCTTTGCTATCTTATCACCACTGATTTTCTTTATAACACATGTCACACTGAAGTTAGCTCCTCCCACAATGTGTCGCCTGAATTCCACTAGCACAAAAGCCCGTGAGGGTGGGGCTCTTGTCCATTTTGTATTTCATGCATTCCAGCCCCATGGAGAACCTCAGGAAAGAGCTCTGAAAAAATAAATTAAGTATGAAATGACTCTGTTTACAGCAGCCCTTTCATAAATGCAAAAAACCAACTTTTAGATAGCAAGAAGATATAGCCTGGTTTGTAAGCTCTTTCTCTCAATGGGGCTCTGCCATGTAGAACTTTGTGAAGTTCTTGCCTGCTATTTTGATCCCTGTGCATTCCTCTTGCAGTGTACCTCTTGGAGTGCAAGACAGGCAACGGGAAGAACTACAGAGGGACCGCGTCTAAGACCAAAAGTGGCGTTACCTGTCAGAAGTGGGATGCCACTTTCCCCCACAAGCCTAAGTAAGTCTCTCCCTTTCATCTCGGTATTCCCCTACCATATTTAGAGTAATTATGTCACTTGTAAACCAAAACAGAATACATGAGTGAGCTGAGAGAGAATCTTTTTGATGTGATTACAGAATAATTCAATTACTTATAGCACAAAAATAGAAAGAATAAGTAGAAAGCAATTTATTCTTATGTATAGAGTTTGCTGGGAGACCTAAAGCGTAGAAAAAGGTACAATAAAAACAAGAATGAAGCTATGAATTTGATACTGAGTCTGCTAAAACACCAAGGATGATGATGTTTAGGGTGGGACATATCTCCATCACGTATAACCAATAGAACTTGTTCAGTTCAAGGCAAATGAATGCATGCAATCTTAGAATGAAGAGGTAATATAAAGGAAATATATCATTTGTAAGTTGCCTATTATTTTAGTGTTTATATTACATTCCCCCATTTTGGTGTTCTCTGTGACAATTCTTATCAAACAAGAACTCAAGTGTCTGTTACCCTGCTCCACTCCAATGAACTGCCCTCCTTCCTAGTGAGATGAGCAGACCAAAGAGTTTCCATTAGGTAAAGTAAAAATGATTCAACCAAATGCCCAAGCCAAATTTCTAAGATTAACATAACAACCTAATATTGCATATTTGAGAAAAGAGACTTTCCTGGTGGTGGGGGTTACCTGAAGCAGGTACATAGAAGAACCAGAAACAGATCCTGCCTTTTTAGACTATACATTCTTGTGCTTTTGAATCTGAGTTGTTACCTCCACATCACAACTCATCTCTAGAACTAAAGATTAATGCAGACTGCACTTCACAGAAAACAATCAACTTTAAATTTGTGATCTGCTCTTTATTCTTTCTTGGAGTTTAGACACATTTTGTTTTGTTTTATAGCATCACATTTAGTTTTCTCATATGTAAAAAGAGGATCATAACACCATCTTGAGATGTTGTTCTCTTTTTCCTGAAGTACTGGGGATTGAATCCAGGGCCTTAGCACTGAACTGTATGACCAGTCCTTTTTATTTTTCATTACGAGATAAAATATTGCTAAATTGCTAAATTATTCAGGCTGGGCTTGAATTTGTGATCTTCTTGCCTAATAGTTTCTTTTTTTAAACTAAGTGAGAGAAGGTACAGAAAGATGTTAGTGTAGTGCTGGTGCACAGTTCACATGGACAAAATGATATTGGTTACTATTACTTCATGGAGAGAAGAGCCACTGACCAAAGGCTGTATTTGGAACAAGTCCAGAATTACACAGACATCTGAGACCTTATGTTTCTACTACTGCCTGTCTAGTAAAAATACTTTGGCTTTGCTTCCAACCCTTGGTTGTAAGTACAGTAATGGTGGTGATAATAGTTACTGCACATGACTCAGTTTGTCCATAGAGGAATGAAAAGGTTGACTACTCAAATGACACAGCTGGTGGCTGAAATTCATTCAGATTTCAGAAATTAAACCTACAATAGGAAATGCAGAGTATCCCTTCACACTTGCTGGCAGTCTGCTGTGCTTTAGGATGTCAAAATGTTCCTTTCCTGCTCTTTACAGCTATTTTCCTGATAAACACCCTGGGGAGGGCCTGGAGGAGAACTACTGTAGGAATCCAGACAACGACCAACAGGGGCCCTGGTGTTATACTACGGACCCTAACAAGAGATTTGACTACTGTGACATCCCTGAATGTGAAGGTCAGAAGGGGCATTAGAAAATCTTTTCCTGTCTGCCCTTTGCCTGTAAAGCAATTTTCTACAAGGATAATACTAAAAATCTGTTAGTGTGGGCATGCCAAATCTGAGTATGTCTTCACATTTTTGGAAAGTACAAAAGTTTTCTCAGCCCCCATGTATTGACTTGCATTTTAATTAAAATGTTACTTCAATGAGCACAGACATTAAGCTAGATCCAAAACTTTAGATACAAACTTCTTATGCTCAAAATGGTATAAAACATGTTATAAAACTCCAAACTGATTTGCAATTAAATAGCTAAATTAAAACCATGAAGTCAATAACATTTAAGTAAACAATATTAATGTGGATGATTTTATTTTTTGGTTGAAGTCAAGCAGTGCACAAGAAATGTGTCATAAGTCCTTTATTTTAATGGACCAATCCATTTCAGAATGTACTTCAAAGATCAGTAATAAAAGATAAAAACATCAGACTGGATGTATTTCATTTCATATTTCTGGATGCATCTATTCAAGCAAGAGGAATAGATTGGGGTGAGGTTTATGCAGCAGTGTGGGCATTGTACTATGTAATAACTGAGTCTTTCTATTGTTTTTGGCCATTGGAACACAAGGATTATTTATTTGGTCATGACATCACCTATAATGTGTATCCAATGACATCATGTCATTTGGATACACATTATAGGTTACTTGCACATGCCATTGCAGGTCATTTGGTCTTTAAGTGTCCTGAGGGCATGATTTTTGTGTCAAGTCTGTGTCTAGTTTGTATAGTGCTTGGCCTAACCATTGGTTTCAATAACTTCAAATCATAACTTCAATTTTAAAATAAGTTAAGAAAATCAATCAATCATGTCATGCTTCTCAGCAATATAAAAAGAGAAAGGCAGACACTCCAGGCGAATGCTGTCTTCCGGTGAGTGTGTGGTGTGCTCAACAAAGGCTCAGAAATCCTAAGATAGTATTGCTTATTTGTCAGTTGTCAAATAAGCAGAATAACTTCATAGACTTTTAAAAGATTGGTACTGAAATGAAGGCACTCCATATTTAAAAACTGTAATGGAGAATTTATAGACTGCTGAAAACATGTGCACCTTCCCTGCCACCTGATCTGTGCCTCTCAGTGTAAGAAGTTATGGTATTATGGAGTGTTTTAGTTACTTCTTGGTTAGTTTTCTCTCACTGCTGAGACAAAATACCAGACACATATAATGAAGGAAAAGATGGTTTAATTCACAATTTGTGGAATGTCTTAGTCCATAATCAGCTGGCTCCAAGGCAGGGGTGGCACATGGCAGAAGGAAACAGTTCATGGCAGCTGAAAACAGCACAAGCATGAAGAGCAAACAAAAGGGGAGGAAAACAGAGAGAAGACTCTTTCTGTCCCTTATATTACATGTCGCCATACCCACTTGGGTGTAGCTCTCACACCCATAATTTCAACATTGGACCATGAGTCATTCACAAACTCTAGAAGCCACCTCCATGACTGCATGAAGCTTTGGGCGGACATCCAGACTCAAACCATAGCATGGAGTCTCTGAATTTGGTCATGATTACCATAATTAAAATGTTATCATCCAAAACATGCTAATTGCAGCAATTGGAAAAGATAATGACATTTTGGATTGTATCAGAACATTCTAAGTCTTGATTGAGAATTTCATTGCCAAGAGATTTTTGAGAATTACACATGAACCAGTGATAAGAAGTATCTGAAATTTTTCCAGCAGGATTCTAGTTTTACTCTATTTTGCTTCATCCATTTCAGTTTCTTTCTTAATCTCTTCTCTTCTTTTCTCTAATGTCCAGTTGAATGTATGCATTGTGCTGGAGAAAACTATGTGGGCAAAATTTCCAAGACTGAGTCTGGACTTAAATGCCAGGCCTGGGACTCTCAGGTCCCTCATGCTCATGGATACCTTCCTTCCAAGTAAGTCTCATTGTTCAAGACTCTGTGACTCTGTAAGACATTTACTGTTGTTTAGATATTTTACATGTCTTGAGAAGTGAACTCCTCATGATTTTGAGTTGCAAGGCTGTCATTCACTCATGTGGCTTCAAAAGAAGTATATATTCTTGCTACTCAAAATGTGGATCAGGGACCAGCAGAAGTGAAATCATTTGATAATATGTTGGGAATGCAGAATTTCTGGCCCTCTAAATCAAATTTACATTGTAACTAGATCTGTAGCTGATTTGTATACATTAAAATTTAAGAGATACGGATACATCTGTCTTGTGTGTGTCAAATATTTTTCTCTTCACCTCTTCCCTTTCTGTCTGTACCAATGAGTTAAGCCTTTCCAAGCTATGATCATGGGTGAACATCATAGGTCTTGTGAATTCTCCAATATTTCATGTGTTGATGCTGGTGTATTTTTCTGTGGCAAGATTTCCCAACTCCCACCAAACTTTTATTGGCAAATATGAATTTCAGTAGAAACAGGATTCCCTGCTGTCAAAAGTAATGGTAAGAATTCTATTTGACACAAATTGCCCCAGAAAACACCTCCCCACTGTTTTTGCTCTGTTCTGTCTCCTTGTTCTGTGATGACTGTATAGGACTGTAGCAAGTCTCCTTAAAACTTTGACAAAGAAGCTAAACCACAGGTTTCCAACGCGGAAAACAATGCCATTGAATTTTTACACTTTCAATTCCAAATACCTTGAAACATAGGTATTGTCCTTGCTATTCACAATTAAGAAAAATAGAAATATCAAGGCCCAAGGTAGGGGAAATTAATTTCCAGGAAACTGGAAGGAAAAGAGAGTTATTAAAACAGAGCTAGCTGCTCTGTTCATTTTAAGCACTTTGTCAGTCTCAGAGAGGTTGTGAAAGAGGCCCAAAGGGATAGCATGGCATGCATGTACCAGGGTACCCTGGGTACCTGCATGACTTTGGCTCTTCACTCTCGATTTCTCTAAGCTGCAGGTAGCAGAAACTGAGTCTAGCAGGTCATATGCCAAGATACCAATTCCTAGCTGCAGCGGCCTTCAGGCACCGAGCACCTTATATTTTAAAAGTTGCTATTTTTTGCAGTTAAGTAACTAGAGTTGGCCTACATCAATTTTCCAAATGGTCAAAATGATAAGATTACTGATTCTGTTCAGTGATTTTTTTTTACATGTGTAATCCATTTTTAAAAAAAGGTCCTGGAGTGCTGAGCTAATATTTCTTCCTGGATTACCATCATGTTGAAGATAGCCTTTGTCCAGTTGCTTCCTCGGTGCCTAACTGTGACTTCCACATAGCAAGTGCTCAATATTTGCTTATTTTTCCAGGAATGTAAATGTGCCAAGCTATTAAAATTTTTCCTGTCTATTCAGACATCCAAACATGAACTTGAAGATGAATTACTGTCGTAACCCTGATGGGGAGCTCCGCCCATGGTGCTTTACCACTGATCCCAACAAACGGTGGGAATTCTGTGACATTCCCCGCTGCAGTAAGTATGGCTCTGCTTGCATCAGGTACTCTGGGACCAAGAAGGAACATGTATCAGGAGGGAAAGAGCTCAGAGAAAACTAAAGGAAAGGTCTAGTAAGAATGACATGCAAGAAATGATTTAATAATATGTTGAAACTACTAGATCTGTAGCTGATTTGTTTCAGCTACAGATCTAGTAGTTGAAAAACACTACGATTGATGAAAATTTTTCAAAAACTTCACTACAATAAATTTTTAGGCCCTGAATGCAGGATCCAAAAAGTAACTCACAGGTCCTGTGTAATGTTATTGCACTTGATTTTATTACTCTTATAAAGCAATTTATTGGCTACTGTAAGTGGTTGATCCAAGCATTTCACTTATTATTTATTTATTTTTCTGTCAATGACTTCTCCTTCTCCTGAGCACACTTACGTAGGCTCTGGATAGCAGCTCTGGTCTTTCTCTTTTCTCTATGTCAAAGGGAAGCAAAACCCAAACTCTTCAGACTTCATTACTAGGCAGGGTTTTTTTTCTCCCGCAACCGTTGCTTTCTCAACAAGCAGGTGTGTGTGGGCAACAGATTTTCATTCTCTCCACCTTGGCAAACAGTAGGGGAAGAGAGCTCAGGAGAGGAAGATGAAATAAATGGCCTAGTAGAAATGACATGCAGCAAAGTATTTCCTAATATGATGTGCAATCAAAAAACACAATGAATGTTTAAAATTTTTAAAAAACATTATTACAATAAAAGAAAAATTGCATTATTAATTCCCCTAAAAATACTCCCCCTTTTTCAAGCACACTTTCTGAAGTAGTTCTGGAAGTTTTCTTTCATAAATGTTTTTAGTTTTGCTAACTAGGTGCCTCGATGTCCTGAATTGACTCCAAAATGTTACCTTTCACATTTTGATCTTGGGGAGAAACCAGACATTGCATGTTGACAGATCTGTTGATAAAGTGGATAAGAATGCACCACAGTGTTTTTACAAGCGTACCTTCCTGTTGGATGGCACAGCAGCAGGATTCACTGTTTTTTTTTATTACCCATCATAAAATATATCAGGAAAGAAGATTCCCACAACCACTTCAGAAAGTGACAAGAACAATTAAATAAGAATATTCAAAATGAAGGGAATATTTTGAGGGAGATTCATGGCAATGTATCTTTACTGAAATCAAATTTTTAAAATTTAAAGATCACTGTATATTTTGACCACATCTTGTATATTCATCCTTTTTCTGAGAACTGGAACCAAGATACAGAGAGCTTAGACAGAGGCATTCATCACAAGTGATGAAGGAACCAGTGAATTCTGGCTTCCTCCTCAATAGGACAGTGTCCTTGAGAAGCTGAGGTTCCTGTTGTCTTTTTATTTTTCCTCTCAAGATTATCTTGAAGTGCAGCAGCATGTACATCCTTGAAGATGTTTTTTCTTTCTTTCCATGAGTTCTTTCTCAGTTGTGTTGCTTCATGAAATACTGGGTTCCATTCTCTTATGTTTATCAGTGAATAATGAGTTCTTCACAAAAGAGATCAGATCACTGGCTCATGTAAAGATTTGAGGTGGGCCGAGAACTCATGTTGCTACTTGCCATGTATGACAAACTGAGCCAAGGGACTTTAGAAACAAGCATGCAGTCCAACAAGCATCTATATCCAGATCTATTCCTGGAGAGATTATTCATAAAATGATCTCATAGACATAGCTTCTACCAAATCGACTTCTGAAAACACTAAACAAATTTCAAGTGCCAAATTCCAAAGAAGATATAAAAGAGGAGTCAACTTAGTCACTCTGTATCCATGTCAATCTGTGTATTTCTTACCTGAAAAGTATTCATTATGATTTTTCTTTCCCCATTCAAGCAACACCCCCACCATCTTCTGGTCCATTCTACCAGTGTCTGAAGGGAAGAGGTGAAAACTACCGTGGGAAGGTGGCAGTTACCGTTTCTGGCCGCACCTGCCAGCGCTGGAAGGATCAGACCCCTCACAAGCACAACAGGACTCCAGAAAACTATCCCTGCAAGTATGTTCAGTGCTTTCCTCCTCCTCTCTGCTGTGGACTGTGATGCTCCATTGGCTTTTTTTTTTGTTAGACACTGCAGGAACCCAGGATTAAAATATTTAGGAACAAAAACCGATCAGTTTAGGGAAATGAAATTCAACAGTGTGTTTTCTCATAGCAATCTTTCTCAAGTGTGGTCCCCAGGAGTCTGCTAAAAGTTTAAACTCTAGGAGCCTCCCCAGGTACTCTAAGTTAGTAACTCTGAGATGGGGCCAGGTAATGCCCCCTGCTGCACACATTAAAGCTTCAGAATCATTTCTTTGCAACCTGTATATTCCTAGGATGGATACACTAAGGGGAGGTACAGTAGAGAAAATACTCACTGTGTTGCAGCATATAGCACAGTGCCCAAATACATCAAAAGCCTCATAGTTAGCCACACAACATCAATGCATATATTTCCACCATTTACCCAAACAAATGTCTGTGTCATGATCCCATAGGATCTTTTGGAATCCTATTGACTTATGCTTCTTCGTGACATCTGGAAACATATCCAATACAACCAATACAGCTTGTATGGACCTTGTTTGTCTAACAAGCTTTGTGTGTCTTGTTTGTACTTGATAAGCCAAACTCACACTCATTTCCCTTTCAGAGATCTGGATGAAAACTACTGTCGTAATCCTGATAAAGAAACAGCTCCCTGGTGCTACACGACTGACAGTGAAGTGAGGTGGGAATACTGTGCAATTCCATCCTGTGAGTCCTCACCATCGTCTGCAGAGCATTCTGATGGCCCAGGTAAGAGATGGCCATGAGCACCTACTAAATGCCTAAACACTGTTCTTATTTTTGTACTTCAGTGGTTTCATCATATTCACAGTAACTTTGCTTCACTTAATCCTGCTGTGGTCAAAGAACATGATCGGTATGATTCCAATAATAATATTCTCAGAGCATTGAGGTTCATTTCATAGCCTAAAATGTAGACACTTGGATGAATGTTTCATTTGCTCCTGAATGTAACTTCTATTGGTAGGGTTAGAATGTTCTTTGAAGGTCAGTTAAGTCAAATTAGTTGTTAGTGTTCTGTATTTCTACTGATTTTCTGTCTCCTCATTGATTACTGAGGGATGAGTGGTGACCTATCCAACTTTAACTGAGGATTAGTTTCTTTTTCTTTGCAGTTCTAACTCTGTTTGCTTTGTATATTTTGAAGCTCTGTTGTTAGGCACATATACATTTAAGACATTTATGCTCTCTAGATGAAATGACCCCTTTGTTATGATGTAATGTTGCTGAACAATTCCTATCCTCAAATCTGTTTCTCTAGTATTTGGTGTCTTTCTTCAGCTTTCAATTGGGATATTTAGACCATTTTCATTAATTAAATTATTTATATGGTTGGATTTAAGTCTTCTGTCAAGTTGTTTTTCTTTGCCTTAGTTGAGCTTTGCCATTTTTTAACCTTCATTTGGAATGATTATTTTAGGGTTGTCCTTTATCTTCACTATTTCCTTATTAGTTGAACCTATTTTTAGTTTTAGTATTTTCCTTAATGTTTTTAACATACATTTTTAATTTATCAGATTCTATGTTTAAACGTTACTCTTGTTCATGTATAAAACCTTATAACACTGTGCTTCCTCAAACTTTGTGCTACTGTTCTTTGTGGTAGCTACTTCCTTCTATTATGTTATGATATCAAAACACATGGATACTATATATATTTTTTTACTATTTGTCAATAGTCAGTTGTGTTTCAAAGTGACCACAGGTAGAAAAATTTTTATATTTCATTATTTATTTTTCCATTTCTGTTTTTCTCTTTTTAGTTCCTATGTAAATCCAAATTGCCATCTGTGTCATATTCCTTTTTGTAGACAATACCACCTTCAGCATTTCTGGTAGCACATTTCTGCTGCTACTAACATTTTTTTATCTTGCCTTAAAAATTTTTTTTCCACTAGGTATAGATACTGGGTTGAGTTTTTTACCACTTCAGAGATGATATCTTATTATTTTCTGTTTTGAACAGTTTCTGATTAGAAATCTTATTTTGCTTCTTATATATTCAGTCTCATTGTTTTTAGCAGTCGGTCTATGAGTGTGTGCGTACATGTGTGTGGGTGTGTGGGTGGGTGTGGGTATGCTTTCTATTTATTCTACTCAGGCTTTGCAGAGTTTCTTGAATTTGTAAATTGTGAATTTCATTATCTTTATGAAATTTCAGACATTCTCTATTTCTCTCTCTCTTTTCCCTCATTTTCATTTTGGACTCCATGTTCCAAATGTTGCACCATTTCATAGGCTCTCAAAACTCCTTGTATGTTTACTCTATTTTGCTTCTTTTTTCATCTAATTCTTTTTTGTCTTTTGTGGGTTAGTTTGGATAACTTCTACAACTTTTTTCTTTCAGTTTTACTGATTATTTCCTCGGTTGTGCTATCTTGTCATTCAGCCCACTGAATCCATCTCTGTTATCATGTTACTAACATTTTTAATTTACTCTTTTTTGGTTTCCATTTTCCTGCTGAAATTCTGTATCTACTCATTCATAATGTCCACTGCTACCAGAAGCTCCTTTGGTGTCTTTGATGGGTAGTTCACAATCGCAATCTGAAAATTTCCAGATGTGGTCATCTCTGATGAACCCTGGGACCTCTACTCACAGTCCTAAGGAACAGGACTATTTCTTGTGCCATTCTCCAGCGGCTTAAGGCTTTGGCATTGTATGAGCAATGAGTATGGGGAAATGTACAAATTTATGTTTGCTTGGGCTGACAGTCACCACTTGACTCCTGCACCTCAGCATACCTCCCTGTTCTGCTTTGTTGTTCTCAGGAGCACCCAGAAAACACCCATGAAGGGTTACCACATACGTACAATTTCCAGTTATAGTCACTCTACTTTTTTTCCTCTATGGAGTCTTGTCTTAAATATTTCCAAGAAAAACTAAGTCATTAAATTTCTAGAATGTTATAAATATAGTCTGTGTGAGTGGGGAGGTGGTTTTTGTTTTATTTGGTTTGGTTTTGTTTGGTTTGGTTTTTTGCTTATCTGTTTGTCTAATGTAGACTAGAGAACACTGATAATTCACAGAGACTGCTGTACTGTTTGTGTCATTAACTGCATCACATGTCCCTCTGTTCCACTTACTATTCTCCTATTTTAATTTCAGTACTACCTGAGCAAACCCCAGTGGTCCAGGAATGCTATTTCGGTAATGGAGACACTTATCGAGGCACATCATCCATCACTGTCTCCGGAAAGAAATGTCAATCTTGGTCATCTATGAGACCACATGTGCATAACAAGACCCCAGAAAAGTACCCAGATGCGTATGTCTTTGATTTTAACAATAAGAAGAATCATAATAGCCAGCTTTAATTTTCATTAAATGAATTATGTTTTAAGTTGACTTCTTAGGATTAAATTTCTCTTAGATCGAGAATGGGAGGGAAAATTTCTCAGGAAGCTGCTTTTGAGCAAAGGCCCTGGAAGAGAAGAGAAGGCTAAAGGCTAGGCTAAAGGTCAATGTAATGTTTCAACTATGGAGTTCTATCATTCCCTTGAAATGAAACTGTGCAGTTCTCATTCTTGAAATGAAAGTTTTGCCTGGTCCTGTGCTTTGGGCCCTACATCAGTATCTAATTCTGTATCTGCATCTATACTAATCTGCACAGCCACTGTGAGGGTCCTAAGAACTAGTGGTAGGAGGTGCTGACAGTTGCCAGAACAGCAAAAGTGATGGTACAGGCAGCATACAGGTGCTGCAAGGTAAAATGAATAGATGCATGAATGGACTCAAGACCACGTCTGAGCTACAGAACTCAGAACTTTTGGGGAAACTTGAGTTTTGATGATAGGAAGGACCATATCAAACAACGTGGGCCTTCACTAGAAAAAAGCCAGACTTCAGAAGTAGGGTTAATATACTTTTAGAAACACCTTAACAAAACTTGAAAGCAAAGCTAAGACGATCATAATTGCCCCCCAATAACTGATAGTAGAAAACTTAACATTCTTTAGAGGAAAACAAAATCATCAACTTGCTTATCAGTGAGGCCTCCACAATGTCCAGCACAAACGGGAGAACTTCCTAGACATACAAAACACTTTAAGCCAGATGTGGTGGCATATGTCTATAATCCAACTCTGGGAGGCTGAGTCAGGATGGTTACAAATTTGAACCTGGTCTGGGCAAATTAATGACTTAGTGAAACCTTGTCTCAAAATGTTAAGAAAAGGGTTGGGGAAGTAGCTCAGTGCAGAGGCCCTGAATTGAATCGCCAGTACTGCACACATCTACAGCATTAAATGTGATCAATAACCAAGCACAAAAGTCAGCCAATACAAACAGTGCAGAATGATAAAAATGATAGAAGATAACAAATTAAAATATAATTAATACGTGTTTAAAGTCATGCAGCAAAATACAGAGTTAAAGGAAACAAATGGTAATATCAAGAGAAAGAAAAATTATAAAAGCCAAAAAGAAACTCAAATTTAAAAATGTATATATTTGGAATGAAAATTTGACAGATGACCTCACTATCAGGTTGATATTACAGAAGAGTTAACTGGAAGATAACGCAATTCAAAGTAATGTTGTTATACCAAGGAAAAACAAAAGCCTGGGGAAAACACAGAGAGTATCAAGGACTTGTAGAAAAATACAAGCGTTGATATCTGTGTAAAACAAGTCCCAGGACAAGAGACATTAAGAAAAAAAGCCATTCTTTAAAAATAAAACCACATAACTTATTTAGGTACATCATATATGGTCAGAAGTCAAAGATGAAAAGTCTTATAAGAAACAAGAGAATAAAGAAATAATTACATTGAGAAACAGTGACAAAAATAAAAGATATTTTCTCATCAGAAATGACAGGAGCCAGAAATATCTTTAATAGGAGGGGAGAAAATGCATCAAAATAGAACTGAATATCCAGCCAAAATATCTTTTGAGAATGAATGTTAATGACATTATAATACCAGCTCCCAAAGAAACAAAGCTTGAGAGGTTTTTTTTTTTTTTTTTTTTTTTTTGCCAACAGGCCTATATTATAATGGATGTTAAAGAAATTTATTTAAGTCAAAGAAAAATAATACTAGACGGAAATTTAAATCACCACTAAGAATGAAGAAGTTTAGAAATGGTAAAAACAAATACAAATTTAAAAGACATTTATCTCATTTCTTAATTTCTTTAAGAGATAACTGGCTAGTTACTTGAAGCAAAATAATAACAATGTACCATTATTTTAACATACATAAAATTAAAAATTATAGAAATAATACCATAATATAAGGATGAATGGGAGTATATTGATATGTTTTTATATTAGCCATGAAATTATGCACATTTTTGTTCGTGTTTCTGAGACAAGGTCTCACTATGTAGTTCAGTTTGACCTTGAATTTGCTGTATACTCCAGGCTGGCCTCAAACTTTTGATCATCCCGTCTCAGGTTCTGAGAGCTGGTATTACACCAACACAACCAGCAAGTTGTGTGATATTTATATATGATTTAATGTAATAGATTAAAGAAGGTTATTGTAAATACTAACACAACTATAATAATTTAAATCTACAAGAAAACATAAAAATAAGAATATTCAAGATGGGCATGGTGGCATAGGCCTGTAATCTCAACCAAGGCAGGAAGATCAGGAGGGTTGCCTTGAGTTTGAGGTCCTTCTGGGCTACATAATGAGCTCAAGGCCAGCTTGAATTACAAAATAAGACCCTGTCTCAAAAAACCACACAATAAATTTAATTCTCCAAAAAAGGAGGGAAAAGGAAAAAAATTAAGAAGATATGACTCAATTAAAAATATATATCATTATCATAGAATTACCCAATTCATATCACAAGGATATTAAATGTAAAAGAATTAAAAATTTCAATTAAAGTTCATATATTGTTAAATTTAATAAAAACCAAAGCCCAGTTGTGTTCTCTTCATAGTAGTTGCCCTTTAAACTTATATAAGGACATAGATTAAAAACTGAAATAGGGAAATGATGTACCAGGAAAACTTGAATCAAGAAAAAAAAGATGAAATCAAATAAAGCAGATTTCAGGAAAAGAAATAATACTAGGGCTAAAAAGAACATTTGGTTAACAAAAGTGTTTATTCTCAACACTTAAAATGCTAATGTTTTGCTATCCTGATAACCGCTTCAGCTGCATAAAGCAGAAATTAACAAATAAGGAGAGACATAGGTAAGCCCTTTATAGGTGGAAATTTCTTCAACATGGTTACATATCTTCTCAAAACAAATTATAGAAGAAGACAAAAATCAGAAAGGATATCAGAAATTTTAGAGCAAAATATCAACCTCTTTATCATATGCCCAACTACAGAGTAACATTCAAGTGCATTTGGGTAATTCACTTTGATGTACCATGTATTTAACCTTTAAATAAACGTCCATAAAGTTAAAATGATTAAAAGACAATCCAATGTGTTTTCTACCACTACAAAATTAAATTAATTTTCTTATATATAATAAGAAATTTGGAAAATTCCCAAGGATTTGGAAGCTAACACATTTCTAAATGATCAGTGAGCCAAAGAAGAAATCACAAAGTATTTTAGAAATGTTTTGATCTCAAAATAAAAATGTATATCAGAGCTTGTCGGTTATGTCTAAGCTGATAAGCTTCTGATTAAACTGATCATGATGAAAAGAAAAAACTCAGTTGACAACATCAGGAATAGAAGAGAGAAGGTGTCACTACAGAATCCTCAGATATTAGGAACTAACAGGAAAAAATTAAAAGCGACTTTATTTTAACACATTCAGCTACTTGGTGTGACACTCCTCATTTAACGACCAAGCAACATTCCTGCAAGTAGGTTATTAAATGGTCAGTAGAGGAGGAACTATGTAGTATGCACGTTACAATATTTAGGACAAAGAAATGTTCAAAGGAATCTCCAACTTGATGACTTTGCATTTATTAGCATAACTCTTACATGCAGTACTGTAATGCATAATAGAGTGTAAAACCGCAGTACTGCACTGTACAGTACACTCAGCAAAAATAACAGTACTATATACATAAGGCTACTGTACAAGAAAGGAGACTGAAAGGACTATAAACAAGAGGTACAGAACGGTTCAAAGATAAAAAGGAGTCACAGGTCGTAGTTGTTAAGTCCAAACAGTTGTGAAACATGTAGGTCGTGAAATGTAGAATATCTGTCATATTTTAGTTACATTATAATTAAATAAACTAAGGGGACTGGTTGGGGATGTCTTGCACAACACTGTAATAATTTGTCTATTTTTGCGGTCTGTGAACTGAACCCAGGACTTTCACATTAAGGTACATCTCCAGCCCTTCCTATTAAAATTTTTGTTTGTTTGTTTATTTCATTTTGAGGCAGGTTCTCATTAAGTTGCTACATTTCTCATTGCTAGGCTTGAATTTACAATCCTCTTGTCTTGAGCGCCCAGAGTGCTAGCATTATAGGCATGTGCTGTCACATCTGGCAGGGGTAGTTGTTGGACTTCCAACTTACATAACCCTATCAAGTGACATACAGAGATACATAGGTAGATTTGTGCATGCTTTAAAAATCTAAAATTAGGGGCTGGGGATTAGTTCAGTGGCATAAGCGCCTGCCTTGCAAGCAGACAGTCGTGAGTTCCATCCCTGGTACCGATAAAAAATGAAAAAGACAAAAAAAATACCTAAAATTATACTTTAGAATCTATATTTTTGGAGGCTGAGGATTTAGCTCAGTGGCATAAGCGCCTGCCTTGCAAGCAGGCAGTCGTGAGTTCGATCGCCGGTACCGATAAAAAGGAAAAAGAATCTATATTTTTTATCCCTGGGGAGTATACTTGGCATAGTATGATATTTTCTTTTACACATTTATGTATTATCTCAGTTTTTTTGTAACCCATGTATCGCTTTTGATCAAAAGGGTCATTTGTGCTTGTTATTATATTATTATACCTTTTATGGGACTATTTTAAAGTCACTTGCTAACATTTTGTCCGAACAAAATTCAGAGGGATCTGAATTCTCTCAACCTGTAATGACCTTACTTTTTTGGAATTTACAGTGGCTTGATAATGAACTACTGCAGGAATCCAGATGCTGATAAAAGCCCTTGGTGTTACACCACTGACCCGAGTGTCAGGTGGGAGTATTGTAACCTGAAGAAATGCTCAGAAGCAGGAAGCAGTGCTGTGGAATCTCAGCCTCCTGCCCAAGTTCCCAGTGCAGAGACTACTTCTGAACCAGGTGAGAAGTCTGGGGCCGGATATCTATGCACTTGGACACGGGGATGTGAAAAGTGGAGACTGATGCACAACCTACTGCGTTATACAGGAACATGAGTGTTAGTTGAAGGTCTGTCATGTGGAAGAAGCCTCAGCACCAACTCTGGGAAGCCAAGGCTGTGATTGGTGATTAACATGGGTGGGTGATTTCCTTAAAACATGTGCAAATCCCCAGGATGCTCTGTCTTACTACTCACCCCGATATAAAATTGTGTCTTCGTGGTGTCTGCCAAAATTTTCCTTCTGACATCCTGCTAAATTTGTGATTATTTCCTAGCCAATAACAACTTCTTTAGTATGCAGTATTTGCTATAATTTTCAGCCCTCTGTGACACTGAGCCTACACCTTAGAGAAGACCAGCACCCTTGCATACCTGGTCTATCGAGTGGTGTGTAACTTCCCATTTTCCTTTCTACAGACTGTATAGTTGGATACGGTAAAACATATCGAGGCAAGAAGGCCACCACTGGTACTGGGACTCCATGCCAGAGATGGGCTGCCCAGGAGCCCCACAAACACAGCATTTTCACTCCAGAGACTAATCCCCGAGCAGCTTTGGAAGAGAACGTAAGTCATTCCGATTGGGATTCCGTTTTGCCTTTTGCTGAACAATCTTTGAACAAAATTAGTCCAGGGTTACAGAAAGGAAGCCCAGAGTGATTTTCAGTGTTTGTAGAGAAAGAAGGGGAGGAAAACAGGAGAAGAATTTCAGGGGAATGAAACCTAGACAATGAAAGCAGCCTCAGCATTCCTTCGTCCCTGCCCTGGCTGTCAGGCCTCTTGCATCCGTGTGTGATGGGTTGTACATACTTCTTTTATTCAATGCTGTTTCTAGTTTCTAGTGTTTGTCCTCTGGTTTCTAGTGACCAAAGATGCTCTTTATTATATTTGTCAGATTTTTCTAGAAAAATGTTGGAGTCATACCTTAGTCACTTTCTTGTCACTGAGACTCCACAATCACAACATAAAGGAAGAAAGTTTGATTTTGGCTTTCAGTTGTAGGGTTTTCATTGCATAGTCAACTTGTTGAAAGGCAGGGCACTGTGGCAGAGGGGTAGAGTGGAGGAGAGTTGTTTGTGCCATGGCAGCCAGGAAGCAATGAGGGAAAGAAGGATCTGGGACAAAAATATACTCCCCTCTTCAGATCAGACCCCATAGCAAATAGGCTACTTTGCCCTCATCATCCAATCACCGTTTAAAAGCTCTGCCTATGAGTTGAGGTTTGGAGGTGGGGGCGTGAGGACTCCCACTGTAGGATTGGCCCTTGTCTACACTCTTTCTGGAAAGTTAGTCCGGGGGTAGGCGGGGCATTTGAGATATAAGAAAAACCAGGTTATTTTTTCACTCTTAACATTCAACACTACTGGCACCGGATATGGGGTGTTTCTCCTCAAACACTTCTCCAAGAGTTGGACTGTCTTACAATTTAACTCAATTCTGACATTCTCCACCTGAAAATAGGGTCAGATCCCACAAGGCAAAGACTGGCCCAGCTTTAGATATTCAGGTTCCTGGATGTAACCTGCATGTGTGAATGACTAGTTGTCATTGAGGGTTCCCATGACCCCCACTTTAGGTCTAATTAGTTTTCTACAGTGACCCCTGGAACACAGGGAAACACCTCGCTCATTTTTTCCCATTTATTACAAAGAATATGACAAAGGGTATAGATGAGCCACAGAGGACAAGGAAGTGGGGAGTGGCTTCCAACTGCTGCTACCAGCACAATTGCTGAGGTTGCTGGAGGGTGGAGAGAGGATCATGAGAGGATGAAAAAATAAATCTGTGTGAGTGGCACCTGAAGGGTCTGATTTTTGGGGTCCAGAGCCATTTGTTTTTGTGGCTTATCCCAGGCAGTCTTTGTTCGGGGACTAGGCTGCCTGGCTTCCACAGGTGTGATCAACTTCCAGCTGCAGTGGCTCTCAGCATTCAACTATCTGGAATCCCTCTGGATCTTGTGCTTTTAGCTTTTTACAGAGGTTTTTTTACATCAGCATGATTGGTTATAACATTGATATCTATGATCGTCTTAGTTACTCTTCTCATTGCTGAGACAAAATATACAATAACCAAAGTTAAAGGAGGAAAGGTTTACTGTAGCTCACAGTTTGCAGAGGTTTCAGTTTACAATTGGTTGCCTCCAAGCCAAAGAGATATGACAGAAGGGCACGGCAGAGAATAAACAGTTCATGGCAAAGCAAGACAGGTAGAAGGCAGCTAACAATAAGCAAGCAATGACAACAGCAGCCCTCTTTCTGTCACTTATATTTTATTCAGTCTATCTGCACTAAAGTAGCTACTAACACCCTTATTCCTACAATCACACTGTGAATCAGTGTCAGCATCACATCCTTAATCCCAGTTTTATATGCTCTAAACCCGGTAAGAAGCCCCACCTATGAGTGCATGAGACTTTGGGGTACATCTAGACACAAGCCATAACACTGTTCAACTAAACCATCAACCTATCTCCTTCCCTAGAAGTCATAGTGAGGTTGGAAATTTCAACTTCCTAATTACATGATAGATTCCACTTGCAGCCAACCCCCATTCTGAAGCTGCCCAGGAGCCCTCAAGAGTTGCCTCATTAGAATAAAATATGCTCCTATTGCCCATGAAATTCCAAGGCATTTAGGAACTCCATGTCAGATGTTATCACTCAGGAAATGGCAAACATCACAGGAGCTGGGTGTCAGAAACCAAATGCATATTTATAGTGTCACAATATCACAGGGAGAAAAGGAAGACATTGTCTCTCTGTCTTGACTGTGGAGGGCATGTGATCCATAAGAATAAGCATTTCTGAACCTACAGCAATCAATATTTGTCCTAGCTAGAGGATCGCTGAAGAGAGCCAGGAGCAAGATGTGTCCCATTGCCCTCCACAGTGGGGTCTCTCAGATCTCCACTGAGCCGGGCTGCCAGTAGCAAGCTGTCTTTATGTGTTCACTAATTTTTGAGAAAGGAGACATGACTAAGGTTGTCTTGTGACTCGGAGGCTTTATAAACAGCCAGCATAAAATAACTTTCACAAAAAAATAAGGAAGGAAGGAAGGAAGGAAGGAAGGAAGGAAGGAAGGAAGGAAGGGAGGGAGGGAGGGAGGGAAGGAGGAAGGAAAGAAAGAAAGAAGGAAAGAAAAACAAAAAGAGGAAGAAATAAAAAAAAGAAAGGAAGAAAGGGAAAAAAGAGACATTTCTTTGCTTCTTGCTAGGACTGTAGTGAAATGTGCATGTCTCAGGACCCCTACCCCTCTTCTGCCCCAGGGGAGCTGTATCTCAAGTCCCTGCCTCTTTTCAGTACTGCAGAAACCCTGACAATGACGTCAATGGTCCCTGGTGCTATACGATGAATCCAACAAAACTTTATGACTACTGTGACATCCCTCAGTGTGGTGAGTTGCTTCACTTTTTTTTTTTTTAAAGGAAAACACTTCTTAAATAAATATAGTCATGACCTCTTTATTTAATTTATTTTTTTTTTTTTTTGTCTTTTTCCTTTTTATCAGTACCGGGGATGGAACTCACAACTGCCTGCTTGCAAGGCAGGCGCTTATGCTGCTGAGCTAAATCCCCAGCCCCAGTCATGACCTCTTTAATAACAATCTATAAACACAAACAAAACCTCAAACTCAAAGGGCTTTGAGCTGAGAGTTTCTGAGAAAGAAATGACCATTTCTTTCTTGAGCCCTCTCTTCCTCATGGGCATCTTGATCCTGGTCTAGTATGTTACCCCATCCACACACGTGCACACACGTAAAATAAATACTAAATTCCTGAAGAGCAAGCTTAGAAATGATCTAATAAACTGCAGAATGATTCTCCTGAACTCTTTGATGTCTAGTGTAGGATGCATAAAAAACAAATTTTGAATCACACAGATAGGCAACTTTTCTATTCTATAGATGAGAAGCAAAAGGGGAAATACAAATGCACTGGGAACATCTTTAAGTTGTCAACGTAAGAATTCAAAGAAAAGTAATGCATCAGTTTAGTTGGCTCCAAAGTTCCTTTCTCTTGAGATCCTTATTCATCAGCCACACATTTATCACCTAACTTAGAGATGAAGTGTTGTGTTTCTTCCTCAAGTCCCCAGGAGACACTCTGGAAGGGAAGAAGAGGCATAAGTTGGGGAAGGGAGAGTTGACATCAAGTCTTCAAAGACTGAGATAACAAATTTATGTGTATGTCTGGGGAAAAATTAAGCCATTTTTGTTTTCTGCTGACCAACTCTTGTAAGCAGAATTTGTCCTAGATACAGACAATTACCCTGGACTTCTTCTCGTTGTCTGATTGGCTATAAGTAAAGTCTGTAAGGTAGGGAAATCTGGAGCTGAGAAAGGAGCTCTGCTTACACTCCTGTTTGGAGCAGCATCAGAGGCAGCTGTGGGGCAGTGCTCAGGAGCTGGGAGCTAATCTGTGTAGGCGGGTTTGTGTGTGGGTGGCACCTGGGCAGGGCCTGAAGGAGGACCATTGGCCAGTTTTGTGGTAAGATGGTGTGTTAGCTGTCACTGTAACACGATACTTGTGAAACGCAACTTAAAATTGGAAGAGTTTGTTTCGGCTCACAGTTTCAGTATGCCAGGTCTGTGTTTAACAGCGGGCCCATCCTCAGGGACAGGTATCGTCTGTGTGCACTGTGTTTGTTGCTGGTTTTATTTAGATTTTTCAGACTGAGAAATGACTTCAACCATGACTTTGTCTAGTCTAGTTGTTTAGGTCATTTCTCATTTTCTTTAAAGATTTTCACTGTTTTGGGAAATTTCAGGCTTTGTTGATTGGAAAATTTCCTATTAATCATTTTTCTTAAAATTTTCCAATATCTGATTTTTGATTCATAAGGAAAAACATCTTTAAAAATTAAATAGTACCATTGATTAACATGCAAATTTTTTTAAACAACTCACCTGAAAGAATCTGTATAAACTGTGACTAAAACAAATAACACTATGCAAATGGCTCATAAACAAAGGCATATAAAGTAAGCCAATCTGAAATTAGAAGTGTATTCAGTCCAAATTTTTAGTTTTACTAAGGGTTGTATGATTTTTCTCTTTAATATTAACTTCAAAAATTAAAGGAATTCCTACTTTAAACATAGTTTTATTTACGTACTTATATGTATTTAAAATTACATGTTTATTGAATGACTTTTAGAAACATTTCATTTCTAAGAATACATTTATACAAATAAGTAATAAGTGACACTGTCAGTTTGTTTTGAGTAACCATTATCTCTTTAGTTACTATTTTAGTGTATATATTTTTCATATATAGTACATGTATTTTACTGTACATGTAAAAATACATGTATTTTAATATATTTATGCACATGTATTAAATGCAAGGCACAACAGCAAAAACTGAGCTCAGTCTTAGAAGAGAATATCTTGACCCTGTGTGCATCCTTTTGAAAAAAGACCTCTGTACCTAGATTTTCAGAACAGGCCATGGAAAAGGGAAAGTTATTTAGAAAAATCCAAGTTTCACATTCTCTAGAGTGCATAGTCTTTGGTTTATTAAGACAATAAGAATTTCCTATCACGGTTTTTATGAACAATGGCTTACGTTTGTATTTCTGAGGACTTTGCAGGCTTCAGACCACTGAGAAGCATTTCAGGATACCTTTGCGGTCCCACTGGTGGAGGGCACCAAGGATAAGACACTGCCCCTACTGCCAGGAAGCCTGTGGATTAGGCTAATGTGAGGGGCAGACAGGAGATAAACGGAGAGGGAAGGTAGGAAAGGGCAAGAGTTATGTCAGTTGACCCTGTGGTCTTGGGTCAGGCATACGACGCTCCCTGGAGGAGCCATGTATGCTAAAGCTGGTGGAGAGAAACCATATTTCTGCTGACCGTAGTTACCTTTGCTACCTGCAGTCATACACACACACACACACACAGACACACACTCACACTCATAAAAACAACCTTCGCGCTGTTTGGCAGGGATGGCTAGTGTGGTCTTCAGGTTCAGAGGGTGACTAAGATGATGGCAATGGAGATGATGACAGACAGTGTTCTAAACATATTACGTTGAGTCAGTTACAAATATCCATATGTACCAATCAAGTTCCTCTCAAAAAGATCTCATTCTAATGCTGAATTATAACAACTTATTTTGTTACCTTCCCATAATCAAAAGCACTTACATTTTCTTCAGGGTAGAAATGTAGAGAAAATGTTCCAAAAGCTGGTTATGATTTTGTTCTTTGGTTTGCTATTAGTTTTATTATTTAGTTATTTAGCATGAGATGTATGATGAATTCTGTGTTTGGCTATAAGCTATGAACTGTTCTTAAATTATATGGCAGAATTTGACTCAAATGCGACTTTCTCCCCATGTTGTCACAGCTCCGGCTTTGTATGACTGTGGGAAGCCTCGAGTAGAGCCAAAGAAATGTCCTGGAAGGGTCGTAGGTGGCTGTGTGGCCAACCCTTATTCCTGGCCCTGGCAAATCAGTCTTAGAACAAGGTAAGAACATTCCTAGAAACCGTGTATATCATGTCAGGCATGGCAGGCATGATGATCCAGGCCTGTAGTCCCAGAATCCTAGAAGGCTGGTGTAGGAAGATCACAAGTTTGAGCCCATCCTGGGTAGCCTGGGAAATTTAGTGACTTAATGAGTCCCTGTCTCAAAATAAAAAATAAAAAAAGGACTAGCGATATAGCTCAGTGTGACATCCCTGGGGTTCAATTCCCAGTACCATAAAACAAAACCCTTCACATCAGGCTCATACAGCTGAGCATCAGTCTCCCCTTCTATATTCTCTCAAGAAATAAAGCTATAAAAGATTTAAAATATGTTTTTCTAGCTTTTTTACTTTAAAAATGGCCAAAATGTAATTGAAAAAAAAAAAGACCTCTGGGTTGTTCTTATCAAAACCTGTAGGTGTAGTAACCTATAACAAACTCTGATGTTGCTGGAAAATATTGAAGCTGCTTTGCAGGTTTATACAGATATACATTGGCTCATTGTATAATGAAAAAAAGAGATATTGGTAAAAATGTGGCACTTTTTTTCAGGGGGTGGGTGTTTATCCACAGTCTACTACAGATAGGCTTTAAAAATACTTTTGTATACATTTGTGAACTGTTGAATTAAAGGCAAAGACTTAGAACTAAGATCCTGGCATTTTCTTTCTCTTAGGCTTACAATGAGGCACTTCTGTGGAGGCACTTTGATAGCCCCAGAGTGGGTGCTGACTGCACGTCACTGCTTGGATAAGTACGTTCAGGGGTAACAGGCACGAGGACCTAAGACTCACTCCCCAGCTCCCTCCCTCCCTTCTTACTATGGCAGTGACACAGGCACCAGGGAGGGCACATGCAGAAGCCTAGGGCAGAATTGCCAGGGCAATTGGGTGAGAGGGGAGAGAATTATTTCTAGAAATTGCAGAAAAAGAGCAGACCTAACTTTGTGACCTGGATGAAAAACAGACAGAGCCATGTACTCTGATATGGGCTGTTTTCCGGTCCTTAATTGCCAGATTCAGGTGAATCATGAAGTTCATTTCTTGCCACTTTGGAGTCACCAATTCTGATGGCTATGGGTCTTGAGAGAAAGTGTTATGCAGATAACTTGAGAGAGCACCCCCTGGAGGAGGTAGATTATTTTTCTCTTGACATCACCATCTTTTCCAGGTCTTTGAACCCACTGTACTACAAGGTCATTCTGGGTGCCCACCAAGAATTAAAACTTGAATCTCATGTGCAGGCGATAGATGTGGCCAGGCTGTTCCTGGGGCCCAGTGGAGCAGACATTGCCTTACTGAAACTGAGCAGGTACCAGTTCACCTTGGTTTGTACCCTAAACTGAGTGAAGACATTTGTTTCATGCCTGATTTTATAAACTGAACCTGTGGGGCAGTGGTGGGGAGGTACTATCTATGCTGTGAAAAGCATAAGAGTTTGGGAAACACCATCAAACTTCACCACAGACCCAAGACCTGGCCCCAGTCCTCCATATGCTAACTGTGTGCCTGAAGAAGGCACCAAGATCGAGTTTCTTGTGGGAAAAAAGGGAGTTGACAAATGAGAGCCACTGTGACCCTTAAAGGTCCCTTAACGTCACTAGTGAGTATGCATAGTCATGATTAGAGAATGATTCAATTATTTCAGCTGATAATTGAGCTCCCACTCTGGGGCTATGAAAGTTCCTCCACAGAAGTGATTCATTCAAAGCCTAAGAGAAAGAAAAATGCCAGGATCTTAGTTCCACGTCTCTGCTGTAATCCAACCCTTTTCTGATTCTTATCAACATAACATGTTTAAGAGAACCAAGTGAGATTATATATTTCAAAGCACTCTTAAAAACCACAATATCAAAACAAAACAAAACATGCACAAACAACTCACAAGTGGAAATTACATCATCTTTTCCTTTCAGCTTTATTTTTCCTATGGAAATGGTACTTTGGTAAGCCTGAACAGGGATTAATTTGTTGATGTCGCAAAGTTAGGAATATTTACAAAGAGATTCCAGTGGAGACAGCTCATGAACAGACCACTGTTTTGAGAAACGTGTTTGGGACAGGCAGTGGGCAAGAGGGCACATTACCCGTGGGTGACAGGCTCCAGATAATGGCATCTGGTGCTGGCAGAGACAAGGGCTGTCTGGATCAGCACAATGCTGTGGTCGGGAGTCCAAGTACTGTGTTTCTGGGTCTGATCACAGACATGGGTGATTTCTGGGTCTGTAAGCTAAGAGTTGATATCTTGGGATATTTTGACATTCTAGAAAAGCAAGAGGGAAACTGCATGGTGCAGCCTGAAAAGCAGATGATTTCCTTTATAGTCTCCAGTGTCCTTTCCCAGTTCTCTAGCAAATAGTCAAATGTAAGGTCCCCTTCCATCTTTGTCATCCTAGGGTCATCTGATGGCCTACACAAGCAATTTAGTAATATTTGGGACCTGAAAATGTTGTCTAACAGACCAGTGCATTTTGAGTTTAGTGAATCTTGTACACCCTCCACATCCCAAGGGTCTAAGACACTGTCCCATGAAGGAATCCACAGAGTGACATCCAGAAAAGAGGCTGGGACTATTTGGTGCCTCCAGAAAAGTGTATCTGCTTTGAAGTTGGCAATGATGATGAATTTTAACCATAAGAGGGCACTTCTCATTTCCAGTCCTTTTCTCCTTGAACTTGCTAGAGCAGATTAGTGTCTAGTGCTATGTAGTGGCTTTTTACGGTCATGGTCTTGTGATATTTACTGATGAGGAGATCCCAAAGATGGAGCAATTCAGAGTGCACACATGAGCACCCGCCTCATGACACCGTTTTGGCTGGATGGTCTGCCTCCCATCAATGCAGGATTACAGGTGGCATAAAATTCCAATCAGGTCCAGGATATACATGCAGCATGAATTTTTGCCATCTCTACTCCTGTAAGTTATGGAAACCAAAAGTTTCTTATATACAACTGATGCTTTAAAAATGGAGCCTTACATGTGTTTAGTCTTTAGGAAACTAGACAATTGTCAGGATGAAAAGTTACTTTCAAAAAGCAGTGAGGAAATAGCAGCTTATATGGTTCTGGTCTCTGAGACAGGTTATAGGTGGTCCACAGATGAAGTGAAGAAGTTTCTAGCAGGACAGCAATATAACTTTTGATTTTCCCCTTTCAGCCCTGCTATGATCACTGACAAAGTAATCCCAGCTTGTCTGCCATCCCAAAACTATGTAGTCGCTGACCGGACATTATGTTATGTCACTGGCTGGGGAGATACCCAAGGTGAGATGAATTCAAGGATCCATGTAATTGCGAGGTTTTGACCTACTGCCCTACATGATGAAATGAGCATTCTGGAAGGAAGTTGAACAAGTTTTCTCCATGAATGTAGGCCTATCCTTTCCTGATTTTATCTGCTGTCTGTGCCTCTATAAGAAGTAACCATCATGGGTAAGGGTAGGAAGGACCGTTTCTTTGAGTTTCTTACACCCAAATTGCAATGTTAACATTGCCTCTCCAGGTGAGAGGGTTTTGACTAAGCCCATGAATTAAGAGTACTACATGAGGGGCTGGGGATTTAGCTCAGCGGCATAAGCGTCTGCCTTGCAAACATGTGGTCATGAGTTCGAACCCTGGTACCAATAAAAAAAAAAAAAAGAGCACTACATGAATTTTCATGTGAAGTTAGCCATACCAGATTCCCAAAAGAGCATAAAACAACAAAAATTAATCACCATCATCTCTATCATTATTGTCACTGTCATCATTATCACCACTGTAACAGTCTCCACCAATATGATCCCCACATCATCAACATCCCCCACCTCACGTTACCTCGTCACCACCATTATTGCCCTTGTCACTATCACTGTGATCATCATCACCATCACTATTATGATTGTGACTCACCATGACCACCACTATCACTACCATTATCAACATCCCCACCTGACTATCACCATCATTGTCACCATCATCACCCCCACCATCTTCACAGTCACCACTGCCACCATGGCCACCATCAGCATCAGCATTATCACTATCACATAGTCAGCGTGTGACTGAGCCCTGATGGAGTCCAGTCCTGCTTGATTCCCAAGGGCATTTACTGTTTCTTCTTGCTCAACCCCACCCATATATTTCTAACCATTGTCCTTGGCTCCCTGTCACTCTCAGTCCTGCAACCCATGTGCTGAGGAAGTGATTCTCAGCATAGCCTGGACCAGGAGTCACGTACCATAACTGAAAGCTACTTACCAATTCCTCCACAGTCATAAAGACTAAAGATGGATCAGTATTTCACCTTTCCAATGTGAGATCCAAATTCTTCCTGTCTCCTCTTCTTATCTCCAAGACTTTCCTTGACTTTCACATTCCAGGCATAAAGTCAGTGTTGAGGTTGAGAGATTCTCCTAGCTCAGCCCCCACCATCTCTGCCAGGAGCATGTTGGACCTGCTACTGCTGTTGGACCTCCCTGCCACTCCCTCCTGCCTCTACTAGGGTTTCTGTTCTGCTGAAGTTCCCGCCACCCGCGGTGCCCAAGACATGCCTTCTCTACTTTGGCCACGGGATGGCAGCACACCCCACAGACCACATCAACTACCTGTTACTATTTCATTAAGATGCTCAGAATGGGCTTGGACTTGTGATCTTCCTGTCTCAGCCTCCAAGAATGCTGAGATTATAGGCATGTGCCATCAGGCCTGGCTCAGCAGAATGTGTGAAAAGGGGACTCCTGTCAGTTTAAGCAATGCTCCTCGCTGCTCAGTACTTGATAGTCAGTACAGCTGTCCAGCCAGGGTTGGGCTCAGCTGTGGACCATGACATTCAGACAAGCCTCTTATGGGCTCTGCTGATCTCCAGATTGAGTCCAAGTTTTCTGAATGAAGGCAGTCATCTAAGTTAAGTGTCTTAGGGAAGAGATAGATGTCATTTCTTGGCTGTTCTAGCAAAGTAAAGATTTGCTGCAGAGCCCTGGGGAAAGCTGGACTCGCAGAATTGGAAAACTAGATTATCTGTGCAAACACTGAGACATCCTGGGTGTGTCCATCTGGAAAAGCACTATTTTTTTTGGCAAGTCTGTGAATACTCTATTTCAATTTTGTAAGGAAAGAAAAGGCAGTTTTTCACAAAGAGAAGAAATAAAACTAGTAAAACAAACACATAGGAAAGTTTCTCCTCTCCATAAATGTCAAACAAATGTAAATTAGAAAAATAATCAAGATGACTTCAACCTATTACATTAGCTAATACTTTTTAAAGGCAAAATTTTAATGACATTAAAGTAGGCGTACTCACAGGGGTGTGATGGAGTTTGTGTTCTCAGTGCATTTTTCCCTTTCACATCCTTTTAGAAAGTAATTTGGCAATGTTATTGGGAATCATAAATATGTCTATATGGTTTCTGGGAACTTAGAAATAGGAAAATATTAGGAACTAAGGAAAAAACTGTATAAACAGAGATGAAGAACACTGAAAGCAAGAGGATACAACAAGCGTGGTGATGCAGGATCCAGGTAATAACTCCACAAACCTAAGGTCAAGGCCAACATCATAACCGCTCCAAGCCTCCATTTCCTTAACTGCACACCAGGAATGATAACAGCGCCCACTTCATAGGGCTGATGTGATGATTAAATGAGATGCATCATAGTATGAGCGTGTTGTTGAGGTTAATTGTCAATGAATGGTAGCTCTTCTCTTTTATTATAACAAAATATATGCAAATGAAATTTACCATTTAATGAATTTGAAGGGTACAACACTGAAAATATGTAGCCATCACTACATTTCTAGAACATTTTCCTCTCGCCCAAAGGAGACCTCACAGCCACTGAGCAGTTATACCTTATTAAAATATTATAAAGATTGTGACATTAGTTTAAAAGTCCTTATATTATAATGGTGAGTGAAAAAAATCAAGGTTTGAAATTTCATGATATGGTCTAGGTACTAAATGAAGCATAAAAGAGCCTAAAGAAAAATATGTAAAAATAGTAACCATTGTATTTCTCAAGCTTCCTTTATTAAAAATAATTTGTTTCTAAAAGTAAACAAATAGCAAACAGTCAGACACCATCAAGAAGCCCAGATTGTTAAGTGCAGGTCATGAGAGCATAACGTCTTATACCAAGGTTATATTTTCAAGTAACGGAAAAAAAAAAGGTTCTAATACCTTTAGGACTGGCTTCTCATGTTAACTGGTTGCCTCAACAAACAAAGAGATCTGTCATTGCTGCTCTGTTCTAGCAGTTGCCTTTGATCCAGGTTTGGATCCAGTAACTGTCTTTTTACTCTAAACACAGGGACCTATGGTGCTGGCCTTCTCAAGGAGGCCCAGCTCCCTGTGGTTGAGAATAAGGTGTGCAACCGCTTTGAGTACCTGAACGGCAGAGTCAAATCCAACGAACTCTGTGCTGGGCATTTGGCTGGTGGCGCAGACAGTTGCCAGGTAAGGAAGGACTAACGAGACTCAGGTCAGACTTGGCCTGGCGTGACTTGGTCCCATGAATATTTCAGTCCCAAGGTGGCAAAGAGGAAAGGGTTTGCCAGCCCCAAACTGCAGTCATAATGTTGCCAAGAAGCCCCTTATGGGTACCCCAAGGGTTATGCAGAGAATCTAAGAAGATTTCTCAGGCTTGGGCTTGAGACTGAGAGTCAGGGAGTGGTTGGTGGTGTAACTTGCACAGGCCACATGTTTTCTTGGTGAACTGGGGCTGAGTTGTGGGGAGCTTTGTAGAAAGGAAGAAGCTTGAGGGTCCAGGTCAGAGACCCACTGAACCTCTTGGCTCAGGGTAGCCAGGCCTGCAAGAAGCCCCAAGGCAGGAGGGGATAAAGACAGTAGTCATAAGAGATTGTTTCCCAGGGATAACTAAATGGTGTTCTGCTAAATGGATTTTTCTAAGTACTTAAACACTGCAGATGCTCAAATGATAATATTATTAAGTTCCTTTCTGATTTCAAATGCTGAGAAAAATCTACCTTGGGATTGACAGAGGGAAGATACCCATAATAAAGGGAGAATAGGTTAGCCCTGTAATGAACTTTTTCCTCCATTGTCCCTAGGGTGACAGCGGAGGGCCTCTGGTTTGCTTTGAGAAGGACAAGTACATTTTACAAGGAGTTACTTCCTGGGGTCTTGGCTGTGCACGCCCCAATAAGCCTGGTGTCTACGTTCGTGTTTCAAGGTTTGTTAACTGGATTGAAGAAACGATGAGACTTAATTAATTCGATGGGTGACAGGATGAAGCATAAGCTTACCCAGAAGCTGGAACATGGGTGGGGAGTTTAGAAACCTCAGACATAATTTGATAGCAATCAGACTAAGACATTGTACTTAGCTACTGTCAACCTTTGGCATTTTTGTATTTTTGTGAATAAATCTTGTCTGTGGACCGCTGAATTCTAATAATAAGGCAACACAGCTATGATATATGCTCTAAATAAACTCTGTACTTTCTTTGATTTAATTTTTTTGGCATGGGGGAAGAATATCATATCTTCTTCACTCTACCAGTTTTAAGGGAAAAGCTAAAGTGATTAGCTCATTTCCACAAGGAACAGTTGCATGTAGGACGAGGAAGCCTGAGAGGTCTTAGCAAGTCACCCAGGACTTGCTGAATCGACTGCATCAAGGAAGGTGCTCAGCATCCATCTTTAATGCCTTTTGTCCCCTGGTGCTCGCATGAATGTTTTCGAGGCTGCCACACATGTGGGGAGTCAGGAGAACAAGCAGTGTTCTTAGGAATTAAATCCATTACTGATGACTCAGCTTTAGCCCAGCCCACGGTGCATGGAGCAGAGTCGTGGGTCACGTGAACCTGGCACTGGAAATATGCTGCAAGACCAAATGAGAGTCTCGTGCTACTCTGGGTCACCTGTGGGTAGAGGAAGGATATCAAGAGCTGCAGAAACAACAAACCACTTCACCTCCTGCCCCCAACTGGCTGCCATGTTGGGAAAGTACAGGTGGCACACAATGTTGTTCAGCAATGTTGACACATGCTCCAAAGAAAGGGAAAGGATATTTTTTAAAACAATTCAAATTTTTTTATTCTTATCAAACAAAAATATCAATTCCAAATACAACTCAAAGGTGATAGTATCAAAAAGCAAAGGCAAAGAGACACAAAAAAAGCAAAAGCATCAGTGTCTGTGAATACAGGCTGAATGGAGCATTAAATCCTCAAAAAGCTGTGTTTTCTCCATTGATGAATAGAATACTTATATGAAATTCTGATGTGCTTTAAAGATTAAGACGTTTATTTTACTGGGGGTGTAGTACCATGATACAGCATCTACCTAGCATGCATGAGGTCCTGGGTTCTATCCCCAGTACCACACACACACATACACATGCACAAAGTTCATTTTCCCATCAGAACATGCATCTTAATACTGTCACACATTGTATGATCTCTTCATAGAAATTTATCTCTCATTGGCAAGATTTCCTTTTGTTACTCATTTTGCCTATCCACACAAAGTTTGGTGTGGGCTGGGCAAGTCATCATGAAGACTTCGTCATGAAGTCTTCTTGGCCCTCCATTCAGTGATGTGTCCTTTAATCAGGTGTAAAGCATGCGTCTCCATACACCTTTCCTGGATCGTTGGTTGTACAACCTGCCTTCCTGATAAGGATCACATAGGGATTCTCTTGTTGCTCTTTAACCAAATAAATCAGAGACTGCTGATCCCAATACCAGAAAACCATACAAAACAAAAAACGGCAGAATGGGCTGTGCCCTGGGTAGGCTCAGCCAAGTATCATGAGCTTCCAGAACCTTCAATAGCATGATAAATCTGAACTCACCCCATATTGTATAAAAATAGTCTGCAGGTCTTTATATGGTATTAAAGACACTTGAATTGGTACCACGTAATGAAGCTGAAGTGCACAGGTACATCTCCGGAGGCTCAGTTTCTCCAGGAGGCTCCACTCCAACAGCTCCTTTCTCTGGCTTTGCAGGATCTCACAGGTGAGAGTTCGAAACTGGGGTTTTCTTTTTCCTGCCAAGTTGATTTAAATTTACAAAACAAAAGAAAAAAGATAAAGTCCTTGTGAGCAACTATGTAACCGATTAGAAGAAAGTGATATTATTACTCAGTAACATGGTTGGCTTTGGTCAAATAGACCGATACATAACGTCTGGTAGCAACCTAACTCAAAAGTAGCCAAAATAACTACTTGTGTGGCTCATTTTGATCTGTTTTCAGACTTTTAATTAGCATTATAGCTTGCAAGTTCCTTATGAATTTCTACTAAACAATGTAAAGCTTGGAAGTAAGCTGCTGATGTGAACAAGACAGTAGAAATGACAGACTAATTCCTTGCAGTTTTAGAAGGGAATACACCAACAGGTTTTGGTTATTTGATGCTAAGTCGGTTTGTTCTAGAGTAAATAACCATGAGTTGTAACAAATGACCTTAGTTTGTAGATCATAAATCATATTCCTAGATTATTTTTTAAGAGTAAGAACTAGTTGTAATTAATTTACTCTGCTTTTTGTTATAAAACTACAAAAACATTAATGCACTTATGTTGTCTGAGTGAGAGGGGTGCTTAGACTAAAGCCACATCTTTGTGACCAGGGTTAGATGCAGTACATGACTCACTCTTGGCCTGTACAGGTATTTTCCAGTTGGACTTTTGGTTTGACTATCGAGCAAAGTTGTGAACACTGAGCTGAATTTTTTCAAACTTTGCTGTTCAAGTAGTGGAAAGTTCGAGATTGGAGCTGTTTGACAACCAAGGGAGCACTGTTAGATCTCCCCCAAAACTCATTCTCACTGTCTCTTATTCATCTGTCTCATCTATCTATCTACCCATCATCTATCTATTTATATCTATCTATCTCTCTGTCTATCTCTGTATCTGCCCATCTTCACTTATCAATTATATCTTATCTATCTTTCTGTCATCTGTCGTCTCATCACAGGGGTTGTTATTGGTTTATTTTTTAATAAACACAGTAGCCCATTGCTTTTGCAACCAATACCAAGAAGCTTCCCACGTGCTCCATGTAGACACCTTTGCTTCTTTTCATCTTGGTGTAGTGAACCACATTACAGTTACCATCTTTAATGCATATTTAAGTTACTTCATTCTGCGACTTATCAGTGCATTTTTTAAAGATAACTGCTGATTTTTAACATTTTATTTGGAAATGCTTCCCAACCACATTTTAAAAATAGTGCATATTCTTTTATAGCATACGATTTTTAAATTGTTCTTTTTCTTTCTCCTCTTCCTCCTCTTCTTTTTTTTTCTGCTTCTCCTCCTCCTCCTTTTTTCCCTTCTTCTTTTTTGCTTATTACATGAAAGGTGGGTTTAATGTTATCATTTCCTATGGATGTTGGATTTTCTCAACAACATCTTTTCCCCAAGCATCTAAAATTCTGCTTTAATTTGGGATGTGCTGAATTTTCTACAATACCTGCCAAGTTTTTCAACATCATCCACTGTCTCTGGTAAGGCAATACCCTTGGTTTCAGGCAAAAGCATCACAAGGCCACCACAAACCGAAGCCAGGATACCTGCAAAAGGGGAAACACATTACCGCTGCAGAATCACAGGCTGACCCTCAGGCTCCTTGCCCACTCTGGAAGCTGCCAGGCTCACTGACCTCAGTTTGTCCTCTCAACCACAGTGACCCTTTTCTTACCCTACTCAGCTCTTCCAGGAACTCAAATGTCCCTCACCCTCCTCAAATTCTGTACCACACCATAGGTCCTGGGCTCTTGGCTGTTCATTTACACAGTTAGCAATTACAGTCCTGTGTCACTTAATGACAGGAAGATGTTCTGCAAAATGTATCTGTAGGTGACTTTTTGTTGTGTGAACTTTAGAGTACTGTATACTTACACGGATTAAAACAACTGCGACATTGCTAGGCAACACAGTCTTATAGGATCACCATAAGATGACATTGCGGGTCACTGACCAAAATGTCCTTACATGGTGCATGACTGTGTTTGCTAAGTATCAACCAAGCTAAGCACTCGTGGTTTTACCTCCTGCTTAAGAATCAGAAAGGATCCCCTCCTCTTTCTTTTTTGACACTAAAACTTAATTGAATCCTCTCCTTTCCGTGCCTTCACCTCTAAGACTTGTCCTTGCTACTGCCAAGAGTGAGGTGTCACTGAGACCCATCGTTTGGGGTCCTTATTATATTGATTAATCTACTCTCCAGCATCTTCAACAGAGTAGTAGGAATATTCCAACACACTGACACATCTCTAACAAGCTGACTGTTAGCCTCACTCTCCACTTACCATTCACTTTTCTGTTCTTTGGAGTCCAAACACAGGGTACATTGTAACTGCCTATTTCTCACCCGTATCCTAGCAGTGTGCTGGGAAATGTCTAATAGTTGGCTCTGCACAACAGAGGCCTGACTTATAGCTTTGCTCATTTCCATGGTATAAATGTCACCATCATAAACACTTCAAAATACAGTGCAACTTCAGGGAACACAGCCTCATGCACAGACAGACAGCAGTGCTCTATTCCATTGTATTCCCACCAGAAACATACAGTAGAATAAATAACCTGAAGATCACCCCTAACAGTAAAAATTTGGTACATGAATTAGAAATGTTGAGTATTTATGCCCTCTGCTTTTAATATATTTTATAAACTCTAATTTTTAATCATGGTTGTATTTAATGACTGACTGGCTCTCAGAATTCTTAAAAATGTCACAGTCAGCCCTGGTGAGCTGTCAGGAGCCAGTCTCAGTATGTCAATCTACGTCACACATCCAGGCCCACCTTGCACTGCTCCTGCATCTTCCCTGGTCCTCCTCCAGCCAGGTCACCAACTGCCTTTGCCACCAGATCCAATGCCACTGCTACTGGGCTTTGTTTGCCACTCTAGAGTTACACATGCCTTTCCTTGATGTCCCTACTCTGTCATCACGGTCCCTGCTCTTCCCTTACAACTTTTCTCAGCTCCTGTGTCCTACATTCTGATCACTGCCCCCGTGTCACTGGTGATCCTACATTCAGATATTGCTGAATTCCCATCTCCAAGCCACATTTCTCTCCTGGGCTCAGTGACAGCCGGCTCCTAGGTTCTAAATATTTTGACTTGGATTCTTACAGCTACTTCATCTTGCTACAATCCTCCGCTAGTGCTTGTCTTTCATTTGCAGGTTTCTGGGCTACCGATCTCGTAGCTCCTTGGCTGCTGGCTCTGTCAAGTACTTCACCTGCCAATCTAAAGCCTACGACGTTTCCTTTCCATTCTACTGTCATTGCCTCCTTAGGCCAAGCCACTACAGTCTCAATACTCAGTTATAACATTCTTTTAATCATCTCACAGCTAGCTCAGTCTCCCTCTAATTCAACTGCCTGTCTGCCATCTGCATCCTATCTAAGATACAATAGCTATGTTGGCCCCAGTGGTATGTCAGGCTCTGAAGTGCTTCCCTGGTTATCAGATAAAGAGCAAAGTTTCTATATATCCTTGGTGATCTGTACTTGTCTCCCCTGACAATAATTTCCATCAGGAAATTATACATTGGACCCTTCATACATTGGACCCTGACCTTTGCTTTAGGCCTTCCTACTGCCTAGATCATAGCCCACAACTACATGGGGAGCTCCTTCTCATTGAGATCATATCCTAAGATCTTAGGCTTCTTTCTTGCCTCCCAAACATTCTCTCCTTGACTCTCCCCAAGACATGACATGTTCAGGATTTTTCACCCTCGACTAACCCTGGGTTTTCAGGATCTTGGTCCCCTCCCCATCAGCTCTAGGAGCACATGGGCTGCCCTAGTCCTAGGCATTTGTGTCACACTCCCCAGAGACTCACTGCAATCACATGGACTAGGCTAATACTTGGCCTTGACTGCCCTGTCCTGGTTAGACAGTGGTGCCTCTTGGCTTTTCATCCTGGCTGCAGTACTGACACTGAGTTTTATTATCAATCTGATGAAATAATTTGAAATGTTTTTGTACTGAGATCGTTGTTGTTAGGTAGTTAGAAGTTGATTTTCTGTCCTTAGTGCTACCAGGGTTTTGCAAGAATCAGAATGTATGGCCTCCTGCATTAAATATTATCATTCAAATTTCAACTGCTGAACAACAAATGAAAACAAGGAAGTGGAGGAGGAAAGACAGGACAGAAAGGAGACAGGAAAGAAAGGAGACAACTCTTGCCTTTCACTGCTGGGCACAGTGTGTGTGGGTAAATCCTGGAACAGCATGGAAGTACCTCCAGGTGCCTCCTGAGACCAGAACTCTGTCAATTCATGAGTTCTGTGGAGACTGGAGGTGGAAAGCAGGTTGTGAATTTGAGGCATGTGGAAAAGGTTATAGGATATGTGGGTATGTGGAAGGGATTTTGTGTTCTTTGTTTTTTCCGATTAGCATATTTAGCATCAAAGCAAATTAAGATCTAGTATTAGTAAATACTGATCATTTAAAAATACAATTAATTTCTGTATTGAATTTTAAACATACTGAAGGTCTAATGTAGCCCTCTAGAAATTATGTTTTGTCCCTCAATACTATAAAATGTAATGTTTGGTTTTAGCTCAGAACTTAAGGCTAACTTGAACATTAATATAAATTAAAACTATTCAGAATTTCAAATTTTATTGTGAACAGATTGGCTCCTTAAAACTTAAGACAGCTGTTACAAACAGATGAAATGGATATCATTTAAATCAAATGTAGTAATCATATTGGTTGTATTAATAAAAAAAGTAGAAGAAAAGCACTGGAGAGTAACATATAAAGTAAATTCCTACCGAAGATGATCAGAGGTAGTTCTAGCCACACAGCTGCTAGTCGAAAGAGTAGAAATGGGGCTATGATTCCCCCAAAGTCACATACACCTGAGCAGAGTGAAACACCAAAGTTTCTGCAGAACGAAAAACAGTTTTAAATGAAAACAACTTAGATACTCAAGGTGATCAAAATGTTTGGATATTAAGTATTAGAAATTGGGTCAAGGATATAGCTCAGTGGCTTCCTGGCAAGCAGAAGGTCCTGAGCTCAATTCCTGGTACCAGTAAATAAATAAATAATAGAAATTACAACAGTATTTGCCATTTCTATTGCTTTTAACTTTGAAAATCCCATTTCTCTTGTATTTGAAGTAAACATTTCCATTTGATACTACTTCACGATAAGGATAGGGAGAAATTCTCCAGTGTTGGTAGAAAGACATTCATCCACCAACTTCACTGTCTTACTCCATAACACCAAGTGTACGTTGGTGCCTTACCCAGTGTACCCAGAAGACTGTTCCCACGGCTATGAAACCCGAATTGTGCCATTTCATGAATGGTTTCACATCATCCTTCAAGAATCAGCTGTTCACAAATGTTACATACTCAATATGCTTAAAAGAGGAGCCATAGCCTTGAAATATGACAGTGGGGAAGAATACACATTTAATATGCAATCTGAGAAAGTGCACTAAGAGGTTTCCTAATTCCAAATTTAATGCCTTTCCCCAAGGTTACAGCTACATATAAAGATGCCGATATGGAAGTATTTAATACTTACACTGTATTATAAAATGCAGCAGGTAGCAATGCAGAACATAGCTGTAACTTAAAGAATATCTTTTTTTTTTACTGGCTGAATTTATTCCAGGCAAATATATTACATATTAGGAAACATAAGAGAACATTTGGCTACAGAGAACTTAGGAGAAACTATGATATATGTTGGAATTACCTTAATGTTGTTGGGTACAATTCTGAGTTTACTAAATAAACAATTTCAAAGGCCATGGTTATCCCTAATCTTCCCAGTGTAGCAACTGTTTTCCTTAACCATGGTATTCCTGTGAACACAGAACATTTGAAAGAGATGTTAAGGTCTGATTTCATTAACATCTTACAAAACCATAAAAGGCAGTGGCTTAGTGTCCCCACTCCTTACTCTTTGACAGTTTTAAAACCAAATGATAGATTCATGAAATGCAGTGAGCAATATTGAATAACAACAACTAGAAGATTTTAGTGTGCTAGAGATGCCTTCCTGACCCAGGTTAGATTATAGAAATACAACTCAAGAACTATTTGTTGAACCCCTGTTCAACACACACACACACATACACACACACACACACACACACACACACACACACACACACGCATGCAGAGAAAACTATGTGTGGTTAGCTCAGATAAATAACTAGTCAATTCAGTAAATCCGAAAAAGCCATAAAATGTAACTACATTGAGGCAGATATTTTGTTGAAATGTGTAACAAAAGCAAAGTCCCTGAGCCACTGCATTGTTTATTAAGTGAGAAAGAAGAAAATAAATTATTGAGATGTACAAATTATGCATGAATAATTATGTACACATACAAAGATCTTTCATCATCTCGACAATATGCTAAATTCATTTTGGAGTGGAATTGACATGTTTGGGTGACAAAGACAAACATATACATTCCCCCACACACACATATACACTAAAAGAACGAGCCTTACAGCTGAAGTCATCTTCCAAAGAGTTACGTGAAACAGAAAAACAATGTCCTTCTGTGACTGGGGACCTGGTCAAACTACTACAGGCGATTAAGAGTAATATCTCATTTCTTGAAGAAAGAATGCAGAATTTAAAACACAATTTTGAATCTCTTCTGAATGTACCATCTACTCTGAGTTCTGAAATAAAAGTTAGTGAACAATTCTAATGGGCATATGTATGTTGGGATTTTACTTATGGTCTACCTTATATGTTGGGAATTCATAAACCTGCATTTAATTAATCAAGCGTTTTCTAAACAAATGCATTACCGATCTAACTTCCTCAGTATTACCAATGCCTTTCCTGATGCTCAGAAGATTCTCAAAGAAAAAGAACCTTTTATGCAGAAACAAATGACCACCAGAGAATGTAGCTCTCTGCGTCCCTGATCCACACCTCTGAAAATGGAAATAATACTCTAACTCACACTGCTGCTGTGTTCTATGGCAGAGATCGTCCATTTGAGTTAATCATGCTTTTGGAGGCACATATAGCTCCTGACTTCCGCCTTATCCCAAGCCATATCCTTCTCTAGCAACCACGCTCTGAAAACATAACCATCACATTACTGAAAGGAACTCTTTCTCTCCCATCCTGTCTGATCGCCCAGCCTTACTTCCAGCTTTCAGCATCTTGCCCTCCCATACCCATCATCCAAACTATGTCAGTTATAACAAGCTCACTTCTTCTCCTGGGGCTTCAGGGCAATGCCATGCCCTTGGCATGGCCAGCAGGGGCAGTCATGTTGGTGACTGACCATCCTTAGGTCTCTGTGCTGGATTCTAGCCATAACAAAAAAGTTCTTTATTCTTGAACCCACAAAAGTTTTCATATTTCTTGGATCTGTTCTCTATTTTGGAGAAACTGATTTTCTCCTACATTCTGATACATGCATTCCTCATTCTCACTTCTGGGGAGATTTTCTGAGCTCCCAAGCATTAATTCTTTCCTCTTTCCTATCCTTTGTGCATGTGTGTGTGTGTGTGTGTGTGTGTGTGTGTGTGTGTGTGTGTGTGATGCTGGGCCAGAACATCACATATGCTAGGGAAAGTGTTCTATCACAGAGCTGCTTGCCCCAGTCTGCCTCCCTGTTCTCTTCCTTTTTTCCTCCTCCATCCCTTCCTTGCTTCTTTCATCTTTTTCTGTATCTAAAGCTTATAAATAATTGTGTTGATTCATTTATCACAAATAATTGTGAGAATGTTAAAGTGTTTATAGCCCTGAATGGTCATGACCCTCGGAAGCTGAGAAATTCATCTTTTGTTGTTCCTGATCTTAGTGCTTAGCACGGTGCCTGTGAATGGCCAATCTTTAGAGATGGGTTAAGCAATGTCAGCCACATCACAGAAAGAAATCAGAAAAAAGTGATCAAAATCAAATCACATCACTGTGGGCTAGATTTAGCAAAATATCTATTCCACCAATAAATGAATATAAAATTAAAAAAAGAAAAAATCTGTAAGACAATATGTTATATCTTCAAAGTCTTGTCACTGATTAAGCAGAACCATGAGTGATGCTACTGATGCTTACTTGGTACCAAGGCTACAATACAATCATATAGTTCCTAAAAAAAAAGTTACCTCTCATGCATAATTTTGATAAGTGTTTTCAAGTTTTTCAGCAGTTGCCAAACCAGTGTGAGGGAAAATTACCTTCTGGCAAGAATGCAGTGACAAGGCACGCCACCCCTGCCACAATGTTGCTTGCTGCAAAGGGGAGGCGTCGTCCAATGGGCTCGATGGTCAGTAAGATCAGCAGAGCTGCTGGCAGCTCCATGACTCCTGAGATCAAAAAGTCTATGTAGAGGTTGCCTCCTGTGATTCCCAGGCGCATGACAAGGCCTTGGTACACCACTGCACTTGTGAACCTGCATCAGCATTGGCAAATACCGGAGAACAAATAAAAGGTGATGTCACCTGATTGGAAGAAAGTGGTGGACTGAACAAGTTTTAAATCCATCAAAAGGGAAACTTACCAAGCAAACATAAGTATAAGTGTGCATTTCCTCATCTGGGGAGTTCTCACCAGATCTAAAATGGATGGGTTACTAACTTCCTCATCTGTAACAGTGATCTATATAAGAAAAGCAGATTTCAGTAACAATATATAGCAAGAAACATCACCAGAGTATAAATTTGTAATGAACTAGATTCAAAGCTATGGGATAAAAGGATCTTACTAAATGGCCTGGGGCCTTTTCTAATTGTACCTTAAATTGAGAATGAAAATGCTTGTCTGTGGCATTCTCAATAGGTCAAACTCACAACAGATGCAGTTAATTAAGAATCTGTTCTTAGGATAGTTGCAGTGCTTATGGTAAACTGCTCTGCATGGTCCAAGAAGGTATATTCTAAAGTAAAACATATACATTTATTATGTTGGGAGGGAAAATGAGAATGAAAATGGTAAAGAAGGTCCAATCAGGTATTTATTTATACGTTAAATCCTCAAATCTTACTTTGACTAATAACTAATAAGTATAAGACCAAGTACTAAAGATACAATTTTGCTTTCATCCATTTATTGGAATCTGGCCTCTTTTTGATCCAGGAAAATTTGGCTCATTTCTATTTGGTGGTCTCCACCCACAAATTTCCTATTTTCTTCAATCAATTCAGTAGTTGCTATATGCCTACTGTCTTCAGGGCACTGCAAAGGAGACAAAGAAGAAAGCAAACCTCTGTACTCAGATGTTGCTTCTAGTCCAGGCTGTGAAGGCCTCACAGTGCAGTCCCTGCAGTGACCACTGTTCTAAATTTCACGGGCTTGCATTGATCGGTACCTCTGTCGGGAGGGCCTTTGACCTCCTCACTTCCCCTGACAGGTTTTTCCTAACCTCTGATGGAACTAGGCCTCCACTCCACAGCTCCTATACAAATGCTTTCTCTTGACTTATCTACTGATCTTTCTCCAAGAGCTCTGGAGCTCTTGAGAGGCAGAGAATACACTGTAGCACCAAGACAAGTGTCTAGTGTTCTACAACTTTTGCTTAATGATGGAAGGTCAAAATAAGAAGCCCTGTACCCTGGCTAAACCTGTCCCTTCAGTGTTGCCCTCTATTTTTGTCTTTCTAGTAACCTGGAATCTTACTACTAAAGACAGAACCTCTTCTATTTATTCATTTCCAGATCTAACTAAGAAGGAGTAGAAATCTAGGAATGTTTCCCCCAAGGTTTTGGAACAGGGGTATCTCTACCAGCAGTCACAGAATTTGATTTAGAGCAAATCCACATTGAGAATACATTGTCAATCACTTATCTTGAACGTTAAATTCAGTGGATCAACTAAAGCTTGCTATCTCATAACTACATTTGCTCTAGGGAAAGTCACAACAGAAGACTACAAAATGAATGTCTTGCACCCCTCTAAGTCTTCCTAATAGTACACTTCCATAGCAAGTCACATGATCCTATTCCTCCTGCCAAGTTTTAAAGTGTCTAAATTGGGATTTGTCTTATAAATGATAATGTTTTTTTCACTTACTATGATCATGAGATTTAAAATCAATAATGTTTTAAAATCAACAAAACAATGGTAGTTTCCATGATTATGTTTATGGAAAGTTGTTGATAGACTTTACCACCCCATTCTTGCCTTCTCTCTTTTGATAACAGTATCTATAGAATTTCAGTTGGATACATGGCTTGCCCTTCATTTTCTGTCTTCTCCTTCCTGTAGAGTGGCAGAAGAAGATGGTGGTGAGGTTCAATTACATAACCTATCACAGGTGATGGTGAAGAAATGGAATGAATGGAACCCTGGTGCTGGAAGACCTCATGGAGAAGAGCTGCCTAGTCAGAACTGGGCTATTCACCTCTAGGGAAGAGAAAAAATGCCTTTCTCTTTTTGACACCAGTACAGTTAGACACAAAGGAGCTAAGTGAGTCACTCCCTACTCCCCATCTAAACCAAAGTAGCATCCCAATGGTTATTCCTGCTTCTGTTATCCTAAGAGAGGTACAAAATGAAATAACAAAAACCTAAGAGATCTCCATGCCCTGGAACCAAGGGAGATTCAGTGGGAGGCACCTAAAGCCAGAGGCGGCTAGTCTTTAAAGTCTAAAAGCATGCATTATAGGCTTCCCTCTTTTTCCTTTTTCCTGTTGTTGCTGCTACCTTTTCTGTGATCTTCAACAAACATAGCTATTTACTAGTGGGTGCACTTGGCAATTCTTTCTCATGTATTCAAGAATCTGGACTATTATTGGCCCATTCAACTGTAACAACGCTGTATTTCAAGTTGACCATGATTGTCCATTCAACTGTAATAACCCTGTATTTCAAGCTGAACAAGATTTTAACCAACACAATGCTTTCTAAAATGTTCCTTAGCCAACTCTCTAAATTTTAAGATCCCTTCACCATTATGTTTCCAAAATAGAGCAGGACTATTAATGTAGAAGAACACATATTACCACACAAAATATCAAAATATTTCCTAAGCACAGTGAGTTATCCACATTAAGTGGCTAGCCTCTCCAGAGTGTAATATTAGTTAGATTCTGGGTCAAGCACCTGGATTATTTCATTTTATTCTGGAAAGCTCTATAAAAGTACTTGCAATAATCTGATTTTATAAATATGAAAACAAGGCCTAGAGTATTAGAGATTAAAGAGCAGGAAAGTAGCTGAGTTCAGATTTGAAATCAGGCTAATAGAAATCCCCTAATTTTACCTATTACCCAGAACTTCTGACTATAAAGAAAGCTTTTATTCCATAAAAATTCTTTAGAGTTAATGGTCATTTCTACATGTTTTTAAAGGGCACCATGCTCTTGATCAGAAAATGGAAACTTTAGTTCAGCCTTATATCCCTGCTTCTTTTCTTGCAGTTTGGGCTTTTCTACACCCTGGACTTGGGTCAGCTTGGCTATATTAATCTCTACTCTTTTCTCTGAGAAGTCTCTCACTGGATCACTCATTTTCACATCTGTACCACTGCCCATGGAGGTGGCAATATTTTCTTTTCAGAATCAGTATTCGCAATTTATTTTAGGCTCTTTCATTTCCTATTTAGTCTTTGTATTTTCTGCCTATGCCTTCATATCTTATACCTACCAGATAAGATTCTGACCAAAGTAACTTTTATTCAGGCCCAATGTCAACATTCCAGACTTCCAGGGAAATCAAACACATTATGAACCTTGTAAATAACTTAACATTTAAACACCTTTGAGGATTTTTTAATTACTCATGGTCTGCAATTATTCCTAAGTCACACAAAAACTGAGCATTTACCACCCTCATATTTGATCTGTAGATGTCCACTTTTTCCTGATCAGAACCTCTGTCACCACTTGAGCACAGAATTATTATCATCAGGTGGACACAAGACAACTGAAAATTTTCTGCAAAATGCAAGATAATATTTTTGGTTTGTGAACTATAAATTCTCAGTTGGAACTACTTGAGTTTGCTATTGTAGTTGGAATGTAGCCATGAGCAATATATAAATGAATTCTGATAAAATTTCCTTTATAAAAACAAGCAGGGGACTTCCGGGAGAACATGGTGGATAGATAACAGCAGCTATGGAGGCTCTCTGAGATAGCCAGCTTAGATTCCAGGAGTGGTGCGGTGTGGGGAGTCCTAAGCAGAGGGAGATATGCCCTGCCAACCCAGGAACGAACTAAGCTGAGAGAAAACAACTGGAAATGCAGTCCCAGTGCTACAACTCTAACAGTTAAAGTCTCAGTGCCTCAACTTGCGGAACCCGCGCCTCTGGAAACTGCAGCTTGAATTTCCTGCTGCTGCACTGCATCTGAATCAACACAGCAGGGATAGAGACGTGAAAGCTCTGAGAGCAGGAATCAGTGAACCGAATTGAGAGCAGAGCTGGCAGGGAGCCCTGTATCGACCTGTGGTGAGTGAGAGGAACAGGGACACTTCCGTAGACTAGGAGGCTCCAACAGAAGACATTCTGGGACTGGGCAGACTAGCCGGAACAGGACACTGCAGTCACTTCAGTCACATATTCCCCTCTTAAGTGGGATTGGTGGGGAGTGCTCGACCTGGGTGATGCCACGGACTAAGACCCAGTAGACTAGCCCAAACCAGATCCCTGTACCTGGCAGTGCACCCTAATGCAGTGAAGCTTTCAGCAGGTTGACTGACCTGGAGGGGCGGGCCCAGCATAGGCTTCCCAGGTCTGTGTCTCCCTAGTACACTGCAGTGGGCGGGAACACCTAGCCGGTGCAATTCAAGCAAACTGTAACCGACAAAGAAAGAAACTGGGCCTCCTATATATGCTTGTATGGAAGGAACAAAAAGTATGGGAATAGGGAGAAACAAGAAAAGGTCCTCAGTCCCCAATCCTCTGAATACTGATTCAGGAAAGGTAAATGCAAAGAAGAATGAGGACAGAAAACATGCATAAAGTGATATCTTTGGGACCCCATAGACGAGTTCAAAAGTGAAGTATTTAACCAAGTAAAACAAGATATAAGTAGAATAGTTAAAGAAATGCTAAGCACTTCCCAAGAAAAAACAGATGGCGGAATGGAAGAACAGAAAAAAAGGGGAGAATTGTTTGATGGCAAAAATAGAGAAAACGTAGAATACATGAAGCAGGTTCAAAGAGATTACCAGGAAACTAAAAACTCTATTGAAAGTTGGCATAACAGCTTGAAAGAAACTAAGGATAGATTATCTGAACTGGAGGACAGATTTGTAATGTGGGATCATGAAAGGAAAAACTTCTTAAAAATAACAAGGAAACAAGCAGTAACAATACAAAGACTAGAAGAGGATAAGAGGATCTATAACTTAAGAATTAAGAATGTAAAGGAAGAAGCAAGGATACAATCAAATGAAGTATAAAGGCTATTCACAGAAATAAGGAGAATTTCCCTAATTTAGCAAAAGGTAAACATACTCAGATGTATGAGACATACAGGACCCCAGCCACCTGCAACCCAAACAGAACAACACCCAGGCATATAATAATCAAAATTCCAGAAATCCAATATAAGAACAGAATATGAAAAGCCATCAGAGACAAGAAACAGATCACTTACCAGGGAACACCCATCAGAATTACAGCAGACTTCTCAGCACAAACCATCAAATCACAA